GGAGTCCCTGGCCTTCGCGGTTCGGTCCTTCTTCGAGATCGCGGTAAGCCGGGGGTCTTCAGCTTCGTCGAGTCGGACACGGGCCACGAGAAGGGGGCGGTCCTCGAGGGATCAGGGGTCTGTCATTACCTCTACGTCGACAACCTGGGCGTTCTCTCATGCGACCCCCCCCACGCATCGGCTCTTCTGTCCGACGCGGCGGCCCGCTTTGAGGAGGCGGGTTTGGTGACCCATGAGCATGAGGTGAGCGTCAATTCCGTGGAGGCTCTTGGGACTCACGTGGATCTTGAGAAGCTTGGAGTCTCGCTCGCACCTGCTAGGCTGTGGAAAGTACGTCAAGGGGTCCTTTACGCCCTGTCGTGTCGGAAGCTGCCCGGTCGGGTCTGGGAAGTGCTGTTGGGTCACCTCACATTCTGTGCGCTGATCAATCGTAGCATGATGAGCGTTTTCGGGAGTATCTACGCGTTCATAAATAAGTACTACGCCACGCCCATGCCTTTGTGGGACACAGCTAGACAGGAGATGTCGGCTGCAGCCTCTCTGCTGTTCTTGATGGATGCTTCGTGGACTTTACCCTGGTCCCCAAACGTCGTGGCGACTGACGCCTCAGAGGAGGGGTTCGGGGCCACGGTCTCGGAGTGGGACACCCAGGACGTCTCGGAGGTGGGGGGGATCTTGGAGAGAGGTCGTTTTCGGAGGCTTCCTGGAGTTTCTGCTCGGGCCAGGTTTTTCGGAAGCTTGGAGGAGCTGGGGTCCGACGATGGGGAGGGCGAGTCTGAGCGGCCGTGCGACGTCGACTCGGATTTTCCGGAGGTCCCCCATGCAGTACTCACGAGGGCCCGCTGGAGCACCCTTCTGGCGGGTCCGTGGAAATATTTTGACGAGGGCATCTTTATCTTGGAAGCCAGAGCCCTCCTGTTGGGATTCCAGGCGCTGGTGAGCGAGTACAATGTCAGAAACGCGAGGGTGCTCTTCTTGGTTGACAATATGGGGGTTTGCCTGTCTTTCGCCCGAGGGCGCACCGCGGACTTCAGGACCCTGATGTGTATGAGACGCATGGGATCGTGGTGCCTGGCTCTTGGGCTGCGTACATGTTTTCGATGGATACCATCTGAGTGGAATACGGCTGATGAACCCTCTCGTCGCTTCTCAGTAGAGCATGTTGGCTCACGTTCTGTTCCCGACGGTGCTGGCGCTTCTGGCATCAATCCGTACCCATTCAGATGTGAGGATGAGAGGACCGACCCTTTGGCCGGCCCGGGCGGTTCCTCGGGCGAAGGCGCGGGCAGACCTGCTGCCAGCAGGGTCGGCACCTGCGCCCTCGACACCAGTGGCTTCGAGGAGCTTAGTGGCGACAGTGTCAACTCCTCCACCCCACAGGCCGACCCGTTCCCGTCGCTTACAGCCAGGGGATATGCTGATGGCGAAGCTCGAGCCGGCCCCGAAGGAGCACAACGCGCCGGCCCTCGACGAGACGAACGACGAGGAGGCCTCGAACGTGGTCGAGGAGAGCGACGCGACCTCCGACACGGTCCAGGTCCGAGCGCTGCCGACCCGCCGCGCGCGGGTGTTGTCGGCCCCACGTCTGGAGCGAGTACGCCGGCCCGTGGAAGCGAGCCGCCTACAAGGACTGGGCCTTTTGCCGCCGGGGTCAAGCACGGTGCAGGCGAAGACGGAGATCCAGTACCACGAGGAGGTGTACACCTGGCGAGCTCGGGCCCGCGGGTTGGACGAGCCTCTCGGCGTGGCTGTCGAGGTGGACGCCTTGGTGGGGCGGCAGCCTCAAAGGCCTTTCGACCAGGGCGAGAACCTCAGCAAGGGCGCAGAGCTCGTGGCCGGGTTGGAGCATTCCTTGTCCGGTCTCGGACGCCACGGTGGTCCTCATCTATCCCGCCGTTATCGAGCTTTGAAGGGATGGAGGCGCCGCCGTCCGCCGCGATCGCTCCGCCCCCTGGCCTTCAGCATCTGGGCGGCCAACATTTGGGAGCTGTGCCGCGCCAGTTGCTCGAACACGAAGGTCTACGCGCCGTTCATGCCAGTGACCTACATGCGGCTGGCAGAACTGCTGAAGCCGTTGAAGGAAGATCTCTTTGCACCAGCGCACGGACCCTCTGCTTCATGGATCTGCTTCGCATTTCGGCAGGAGCGGGGAGCGGCGTCCAGGACATGCGCGACGGACAAGAACATCGACCTGAGTGGCGAGTGGGTGTCCTTCCTGTCGTCGGTGCTGGCGGCGCTCCAAGCTGGGGACTCGAAGTCCAAGGTCTTCAACTTCACGTGCAGCAGCTACACGCACCAGTTCAGAATCGTCTGCGAGAAGCTCGGGCTGACGGCCGTGCCTTATCAGGCAGGGCACTCAAACTTCTCCACCGACGCCGCCATGAAGTACCGCTAATACGCTCGCGATCCGAGCCCTGGGGTGTTACCAAGCCGGCCAAACCTTTCTCGGGCAACGACATGGAAGCCCTCAGGGCTGGAAACCTCCAGGCCCGAAGGATCCTCAAGCTTATCAAGTACATCCATGTTCTTGGTATCCCGTGGGCCGTTGAAAACCCTTCGACAAGTTTGCTTTGGTGGGTTCCTGGCTTCTTGCAATTCGCGAAGGACCCCAGGGTGTACGTTAAGACTATCGACCAGTGTGCTTTTGGTACTCCATGGCGTAAGCGTACTCAGCTCATGTTCGGCAACTGCGACCCGATCGATGTTACCATGTGTGATAAATATGTCTGCCACGGTCGAGGACAATGCTGTTTCTCAGGGAAGCCTCACGTCGAGTTGGAAGGGAAACGTATGACTGCCCAGGCCCAAACATTCCCACCCCGTTTCTCCCAACTCCTGGCCAAAATCTTTTGCAGTGCAGCAGTCTACCGACGAACCTGCCTCTATACAATCAACTCATAAACTCACTACCTTTCGGGACGTTTTGGGAATCTTCTGACGCATAATGCCGAGTATATACTCTTTTGTGTTCTCATGTCCAGTTGAGGGCCAGCTCGTGAAGACGGTGGCAGAGTTGATTAGACACATTGCTGATTGAAAAACAGAGTGCAGGCCTCTCATGTTAGTGCGGAGTGTGCTTGCAAACGGGCACGGGATTGAGGGGCCCAACGACGTGTTCACCGTGCTCCCCTGTATTCCATTATATATTCGCTCAAGCTTCCCTCCCCCCTCTCCCTCTCTTGAGCTGTGCCGTCGTTTACTCCACGTTTCAATAGGGAATCTTCTGACGCATAATGCCGAGTATATACTCTCTTGCGTTCTCATGTCCAGTTGAGGGCCAGCTCGTGAAGACGGTGGCAGAGTTGATTAGACACATTGCTGATTGAAAAACAGAGTGCAGGCCTCTCATAGATCTTTGTCGTTGCGCTTGTTTGTGGCCCAGGCCCTCCGTGGCCCGAAAAGCCCCGTCGTCCCTTATTATGCGTCCCTGATGGTAGCGCGATTGCTGCAGGTGCCCTGTCCGTGTCCGTGTCCGTGGCCGTGGCCGTGCCCGGGGAGACCCCTTGGGACGGCCAGAGACACGTCAGGAGACCCTCTGGCTCCTCCTCCTGGGAGGCCGCGGCCCCACCTCGGCGGGGACACGTGCCTGCGGGCCCGTGCGCAGGGAGGCGCAGCAGGGGGGGCTGGGGCGTCGTGAGACGTGGGGGGGACCCGGCGGCGAGCCCCGGGGGGAAGCGAGAGAGTGGGCGGGCCTCCCCGGAAGGCTCGGAAGGCCTCCGGCCTCCGGAGAAGTGTCCCGAGCCTTCCCCGAGGACACCAGGAGCCTTCTCGGAAGGCCAGAGGACCTCTGAGAAGCCCCGTCGCCTCATGAGAAGGCCTCCTCCTCCTCCTCCTCCCCCTTTCCCCCCCTGCCTCGCCGCCGAGGGGGGGCGGCGTCCGGAGTGCGCCACCTCCGACGTATGAGCTTGCCTGCCGTCGGCAACTCCGACTCAGAGCGTCGCGCCGCGGGCTCTGGCCCCCACAGCGCCTCGGCGCGACGCGGCGGGCGCCAGCGTCTCGAGCGCCTCCCGGCCCCCCCGCTCCGCGGAGCGGAGCGCCACGCCACCTCTGCTCGCAGGGCACAGAGGGTGCCGTCGGGGCCGCCACCGCCGCACGCCGAGCAGGGAGAGCTCCCCCGGCTCGGCCGGCGGGGCAGGGGCGGGCGCCCGCAGGGCGCTCGAGGCGGCGGCCTCGCGCACGACGCCGAGGGGTGCGTGCCCAGCGGGACTGGGCGCAGGCGCTGCAGGCAGGGGGAGGGGCCTCGGTGCCCGTGTCGGCGCGTATCGCGCGGTGGGTGCGCGCGATCTCCTGCGCGTCGGCGGGAGAGACGTGCTCGTGCGGCAGAGCACGCTGCCTGGGACTTCCCTGCCTCTCCTCCTCCTCCTCCTCCTCCTCCTCCTCCTCCTCATCGTCATCGTCATCATCGTCATCATCATCATCATCGTCATCATCATCATCATCATCATCATCATCATCATCATCCTCGTCCTCATCCTCATCCTCATCCTCATCCTCATCCTCATCCTCATCCTCATCCTCATCCTCATCCTCATCCTCATCCTCATCCTCATCCTCATCCTCATCCTCATCCTCATCCTCATCCTCCTCCTCCTCCTCCTCCTCCTCCTCCTCCTCCTCCTCCTCCTCCTCCTCCTCCTCCTCCTCCTCTCCTCCTCCCCCTCCTCCTCCTCCCCCCCCCTCCTCCTCCTCTTCCCCCCTCCCCTTCCTCCTCCTCCTCATCCTCCTCTTCCTCCTCCTCCTCCTATTTCTCCTCCTCCTCCTACTTCTCCTGTTTCCCCCCTCTCCCTCCTGTTGCTCCTTGTCTCCCTTTTCCCTCGTTTCTTCCCCTCCTTCCTCCTTCCTGCTGCTCCCTTCTCCCTCCCGTCCCTCCCCCCCGTCCCTTTTTTCCCGCCCCTCTTCTCCTGCGGGCAGACGCCGGCCAGGTGAAGGAGCAGCAGGGCAAGGCGGCCGAGATCAAGGGGACCCTGATCGCGGAGGCCAGGAAGACCCTCGCTGGCTACATGTCCAAGGCCGATGGGGGTGAGCGGGTGGTGGAGGACGGGGGGCAGGAGGGGTCCCCCCGGACGCGCCACCCCCACGCCCTGGGGCGTGTGAGCTTCTATCGCCCACGCCCGAGCTTAGTTCCTCTCCTCCCCCTCTTCCCTAAGCCGTTGCGCCTTTCGGAGCACGGCGACGAGGAGGAGGAGGAGGAGGAGGAGAGGGAGGAGGAGGAGGAGGAGGAGGAGGATGATGAGGAGGAGGCGGGTGGAGGATGAGGATGAGGATGAGGAGGAGGAGGAGGAGGAGGAGGAGGAGGAGGTACAGCAACGATCTCTAGTTCTTTGCTTGAACAGTGCTAAACGTGAGGTGGAGAAGGAAGCCACCCTCTTCGTGAACAACATGTTGACGCACTGAACGGTCATATACGGTCGGCTGGCCTCAGTGTGGCTTTGAGCCTGGCGGAAGCAGGTAACAAGGAACGATGAACGAGGAACCAGGAGGAGGAGGAGGAGGACCAGTGTAAACCAAAGAAGCATCAACGATGTTGCAATCACCCCCCTCTCCAAGTTTCCACTTCATAGCTCCCTACACTAATTTATTATCATTGCGGGAAGTGCCCCATTGGAAGACATCCGTTTGAGAATCCCCATTTGTGTCAAAACTCGATTCTTGGGACGTTAGCACCGTGAATCAAAGTGACTGTTGCGCCCTGACAATCCTAAATCGTGCCAGAAAGCAATTCCTGGGACTTCAACCACACGAATCCTTGAATCTGCTGCAGACGAGTGTGCGCGGCGCTGAGGCGAGAGCCAGAGTTTGAAAAGGATCCGGTTCCTGGAGCTGATGCACATTTCAAGCGGCGTCAGAATCAGAAATGAATGGTTGGGAAGTCTCCCTGCCCGGCCTGGAGACTCATCGGAGGGTGCGACGGGGTGGAGCCATTCCCATGAACATTTCCTGCACTTTGGAGCGTTCACTTCTCTGCTCAGGAACCGGGCCTGCCGCTGCTTCGTCGCCGCCCGTCGCTGCTTCGCATCGCTTTCCATCGCGTTGCATTGCTTTGCATTGCTTTGTGTTGTTTTGCATCGCTTTGCATGGCGTCGCATTGCTTGGCTTGGCATTGTTTTTATTTTGCATTGCTTTCCATTGCTATGCACTGCTTTGCGTTGCGTTGCATGGCATAGAAATCGCATGACAGTACTTTGCATTGCCGTGTACTGTTATGCTTTGTAATGCTTTACATTGCCTTGTTTTGCATTGGTTTACGTTGCTGTGTGTTGCTGTTGCTTTGCGTTGCTTTTCATCGCTCTGCATTGCTTTTCATTGCTTCGCATCATTGCTTTCCATTGAATTGCTTTGCATTGCTTTGCACTGCGTTGCGTTGCATTGCATTGCATTGCATTGCATTGCATTGTGTTGTGTTGTTTTGCATAGCTTTGCCATGCGTCGCATTGCTTTGCTTGGCATTGTGTTTATTGCTTTGCATTGCTTTCCATTGCTTTGCACTGCTTTACGCTGCTATGCGTTGCGTTGTATGGCATAGAAGTCGCATTGCATTACTTTGCCGTGTTTGGTTTTGCTTTGCAGTGCTTTATGTTGCGTTGCTTTGCATTGGTTTGCGTTGCTGTGTGTTGCCGTTGCTTTGTTGTGCGTTGCTTTGCATTGTTTTGCGTTGCTTTGCGTTGCGTTGCATTGCTTTGCGCTGTTGTGCCCACATGGATTACACCACCTGGATTGCACCGCGTATATTGTAGGAATCACTGCTTGGGATCCACGCTTGTAAAACTTTCTAAGGAAAGGGAGTGGGGGAGAGGAGGACGGACGGCTGGAATGATGATGATGATGATGATGATGATGATGATGATGGTGAGGAGGAGGAGGAGGAGGAGGAGGGCAAGGGGTAGGGGGAGGTGGATGAGGAGGAGAAGTAGGAGGAAGAGGAGGAGGACGACGAGGAGGAGGTGAGCAGGAGGAGGAGAAGGAGGAGGATGAGGAGGAGGAGAAGGAGGAGGAGGAGGCGGAGGAGGAGGTGGAGGAGGAGGAAGCGGAGGCGGTGGAGGAGGCGGAGGAGGAGGAGCAGGCGGAGAAGGAGGAGGACGAAAAGCAATAATACTACCATTAATATTAATACCAAGCAACGAATGATACGAAGACGAACAACACTACTACTACTACTACTGCTACTACTACTACTACTACTACGAGGAAGGACACACATAACAATAATAAGCATGAGAAGAATAATAGTAATACTAATAATACTAATATTCGGAATGCGCAGAAGACGACTACTAATAGGAGAGCACGGCGAATCATAATAGTACTACTACGACGAAGACGAACACTAACAAGACGACTCGCGAAGACGATTAGCAATACCAGTACTATGGATACTAGTTGTATGAAGCAGACCCATAACCATATTACTAATTCCACGCAGACGAAGAGTACGACCACGAATATAATCGTATAAGTAAGACGAATACTACGACGAACAATGCCAACAATAAGGAGGAAATAGTAGACGGCGACTCATACTACTAATGCCAACATTTAAATACAACACTTATACGACCACCCTGCGGGTGATCAAGGAGGTTGGGAGGGGAAGGGGAAGGAACCCCATATTGATGTGCATGTCGATTTGCTTTTCGATCTGCATCTCGATTTGCATTGGAAAGCTCGCCGCAGGCGCCGATTTTTCCAACACGCAACCCACGGCGCCTTACGATTTGCATTTGGATGTGCATGTCGATTTACATTTCGATGTGCTTTTCGGTTTGCATGTCGGTTTGTATGTAGACTTGCATTGGATAGCTCGCCGCAGCCACGGCGGGACACCAGCGGGACACTAGCGGGACACCGCGGGGCACCGTTTCCCGTGTGGAGAGCCTTTTGGTCTGGCCGCGGCCCAGCCACAGGAGGATTTCGGGACACCAGCGGGACACCGGCGGGACACCGCGGGCCACTGGCCGCCGGAGGAGAAACATTTGGTCCGGCCGCGGCCCAGCCACAGGAGGATTTTGGGAAACCAGCGGGACACCGGCGGGACACCGCGGGCCACTGGCCGCCGGAGGAGAAACATTTGGTCTGGCCGCGGCCCAGCCACAGGAGGATGTCCTCCCGCCCGCCCACGCAGCTTCGCCTCGCCCGCACGCACGTACGGCACGCACGACACGAACCCGAAACCGAAATCGATTTCCCGGTAGGGGGGGTCTCCGTTTCACGTCGGACTCACCCCCCAACCTCCGATTAATCGTACTAGTACTAGAGTGTGCATAGTAATAGAAACAATTATGTTGATACGACGAGTAGTAGCAACACTAGTAGCTTTATTAACACTGGAAATAACACTTATTCTAGCAACACGAGTGTTATCATCAATCATATCACTGATAATAGAAATATTAAGATAGTGATACTAGTAATCCCAATAACGTTGATACTACTACGACTATTTAATAATACTATCACGAAGAAGAGGGATACTAGCTAATACTAGCAATGATTTTAATACGAATGCTACTAATACTAGCAGTGATACTACTACTGCTCATAATACGAATAGTGCGAGAAGTCGTACTAATCATACCAGAATATTCGTCAAACTCATGATTAACACAATAATAATAGTGGTGAAAACAAGAAGAGGAGGAGGAGGAGGAGGAGGAGGAGGAGGAGGAGGAGGAGGAGGAGGAGACGGAGGACGGAGGAGGAGGAGGAAGGAAGAGGATGAGGAGGAGGCGGATGCGGAGGCGGAGGAGGAGGAGGAGGAGGAGGAGGAGGAGGAGGATGAAGAGGCGGAAGGAGGCGGAAGGAGGGAGGACGAGGAGGGAGGATGGAAGGGAGGGAGGCAGGGAGAGAGGGAGGAGGATCAGGAGGAGGAGGAGGCGGGAGGAGGAGGACGAGAAGGAGGAGGAGGAGGAGGAGGAGGAGGAGGAGGAGGAGGAGGAGGAGGAGGAGAGGGAGGAAGAGGAGGATGAGGAGCAGCAGGAGGAGGATAATTATGGAGGAGGAGGAGGTGGAGGAGCAGGAGGGGGAGGATAAGGAGGAGGAGGAGGACGAGGAGGAGGAGGACGAGGACGAGGAGGGTGAGGAGGTGGTGGAGATGAGTTACGGATTTACAGATATTGCGGCTGTGCGGTTACATTTTAATTCGTCGGATCGGTAGGCCCTCCTGATTTTCTCGGCTTTGTTGTGAGCCTCAGGCCAGATTCCCGATCAGTCTTGGAGAGGTATTCTCTCAGAGTGCCATCAGCACGAAGTGGTCATTGACTCCCGAGCTTAACAAACTGTTGGGCCGAACAGCTTCCACATGTCCCGCAAACTTAGATTCCACGCCCAGAGTGAACCTTTAAATGATGACTGTTATGAGCGCACCCCGCACAAATTTGCACCCGACACCCATGTGGGAGGTCGCAGCTTCAAGAGAATGTGAATCCAGCCAGGTCCGACTAGCAGCCCGGGAGGTCGAACCTCCACACCGCAAGCACGCATTACCTTTCTCGTTGAGGTGATACTGGATGGAAAACGCGGAGCAAATCTGAGGAGCTGGAGGCCTGGGTCCAGGGTGCCTGACACGGGCTTTCTGGGGCCCCTCGCGAGACAAAACCAGCTCAACTTCGAGAGACTGCACAATGCTAACAATGATTCGCATCCTCACGAGAAAAGTCAATCGCTCGACCTGGGCAACTCGAGCTCTATCACATTCAGACAGCCTGCACATCTTAGCACCGCCACCTGCAAGTACATCGGCAGCCCTGGAGTTCGAGCCGAGTCAAACCCGTGGCTTGTTCTCTTCGGTCCTGCGGAAATCCCGCAATCTAGTCAAGAGGTTTCAAAAGTATGCCAGGGCTATACTATCCAGCACTGAGAGCGAGAGAGACATGATTACGTGTTATCAGGAGCTTTGTCTCTTGGTCCTCCTCCTCCTCGACCTCTTCTTTCTCCTCCTCCTCCTCCTCCTCCTCCTCCTCCTCCTCTTTCTCCTCCGATGAAGCGCCCTCCTCCTCCCGTTTGACATGAATGAATATTCCCCCGATTTCGGCCCCCTGGATGTCTTCGACGGGGGCTTCACCGATCCCGAGGTGGCGGAAGATCCCGATCCAGTGCGTGCTCCGTCTGAGAGGTCATCGATCTGGCTTCCGCGGGGATTGCCTCTGGGGCTCCTGGATGGGGTCCGAGCAGAGAGGGTCGGAGGATCGCCTCGCATCGCCGGTGCATCGGCGATGCGGCTCGACGTGGAGCCCGTTTTTTTTCCACGCCGACGTCGCCGACGCATCGCCGACGTCGCCGATGCATCGTCGATGCACGCGACCCTCCGACCCCATCTATACTCGGACCTCATCTAGAAGGCCTCTATTGCCAATTCGGCAGTTTGAGTACTCAGAGCGTCTCCAGACGGGAGGAGGTGCAGCTATCACTTTTGGCGAGATGCGTGCCAAGATCAGCAGCGTCGATAAGGCCTTGGCTGAGGCCGACAAGACTGTATCTCGCCATGTTGCGCTGAAAAAGTGACACGTGCATTGCCGATCGCGGAAGAGCAGAGTTCATTTCCGACCGTTGTCAGGTGGCCTGCGTTTGGGAAAGAGAGGATTCCCCGTTAAGATGGAATTTATCATTGAGGCGCTGGTTGCAGCAGAAAACCCCCAAGCGGTGGAGTAAGATGCTGGACAGTTCCTGACTGACAATGCAGTGCGAGGGTATGTGTCCGATATAGAAGTGTTCCGGGACGATCAAGCACATGATAATGGAGAATCGGACCGTGTTCGGGCATATAGAACCAGGAGTGAGTGAAGGCGACCAAGGCGGGCTTGCGCGATGGATCGTCAATGCGATTGTGGAAGTGTTGCGCCTGTGTGCTGATCCTGTCGCTCTGGTACAATGATGGAAAGGTAGAATCGGGGTTCCGCGACTACGCCGCGACCGAGGTGCAGGAGTTGTATGACGAAAGATGGACTGGTGAATGCGCTATCGAACATGCTTCAACGATGGACTTCACGTCTTCACCCCTGCTAGAAAGAGTCCTCAGTAGATCGATCCATCCACCTGGAAAGGGAATATGGAGTCTCCTTGACAACATCGGGACTGGTTCCTCGGTGACGCTGAATCGTCAGCACATGCTCGGACAAAAATGGAGCGGGCCCTAACTGTGCTTGTCGTGTGTTGCGCTACGATGCTCATTTTGATGGTAACGAGTTTTCCTTAAATCGATCTCCTACCGAGCACGCTGCCGCCGAACCTCGGCGGGAACGATGACCGCACTGCTGGGAGTAAGGCGGCCCAGCCTACGGTGCAGGGGCGCGATAACGGCAAGGACGGGGGCAAAAGAGGACGTGGCGCCAACATGAGTCTTCCCACAGCTGCTGCATGTACAATTCTTGCTCGTCAACTTGTCGTTGTACTCTGGTGTTTTACAGTGGGCGCACTTACTCCACGGCCTGGATGTGGCCGCCATGCTGTCTGAACCCCTGCTTTCGTCGACCTTCCGCCTGTGAACCAGACAAGCGGGAAGGCACTCAAGCATCACTCTGAGGTACAGGGGCTGGCTCGTTCAAAATGCCTCGAGTCTGAACGGCTTGAGAGGAGGGGGAGGAGGAGGAGGAAGAGGGAGGAGGAGGAGGAGGAGGAGGAGGAGGAGGAGGAGGAGGAGGAGGATGACGAGGAGGAGGAGGAGGAGGAGGAGGAGGAGGAGGAGGAGGACCGCTGTCGTTGGCTGATGGGTTCTCGTCGTCGCGCCTGAGCCTGGTTCTTGAGGGTCTGGGTCTCGGGGGTTGGGGTTGTCCAAGGTGTTGGCGTCGCCTTTCGGTGGTTCTGTGCTTCCTCCCTCCCTCCTCTCCATGCATGTGCTGCAGATGCTACGGCTGCCTTGCCTATTTTGCATGCCTTGCTGTGGTTTGACTTGTCGTGCACACATGTGCGACGCGGAAAATCGGGGTCGTCTGCCCGGACATCGGCGCGTAAGCTGCCCGCGCGAGGTCGCGCGTGAGCGCCCCCGTTTCCAGTGTGTCATGCCGCGCTGGCGGCTCGCGTAAGCCACCGCGTAAGGTCGTTACAGTCAAAACTGATCGTGCTGATGCGCGATGAGGATGCAAGCCCCTTGGACGCCCATGCTGGAGCTTCCTAAGCAGGGCTGGCCATCGAAAGTGGTTAAGGATGGACCGAAGAGGCACGGCTGCAAGGGTACATTTGGGAAGTTTGTCAATTTTTCGCATCAAGCAACCATGTGTTTTTCGTCAGGGTACCCTGGGTTTCTTCGCTCCGCGTGCTGCGCGGTGACTCCCCGCGGCCGTCAAAGCAGCCGCTGCGTTCGGGGTGTTCCGTGCTTTCCCCCGGGTGCACCTCGCGCGCGGGCTTTCAGGGTTGGGTTCCTCGCAATGGTTTATTGCGACCGCGCCCGCACTGTATCGGCGTCACCCCAACATACTTACACTACCTGTGCGTCGCCCCCCCCCCCCAGGGGCGACGCGGGCACCGAGACATCTTCCTAGTATATGCGTCGTGGCGGGCGCTTTCTGGCCACACCGCTCGGGAAACGATCTGATCTACGACAAGATGGGCATGCGTGCCTCCAGGGAGGGCACATTGTACTATGTATGCCCTTGTGCGTCCCGCTGTGTGCCACCCCGCGCAAGACAATTTCCCGCGCCCGCGCACACAGGCCGAGGGGGGAAGGGAGGGAGGGAGGGAGGGAGGGAGGGAGGGAGGGAGGAGGGGGGAGGGAGGAGGGAGGAGGGAAGGAGGAGGGGGGAGGGAGGAGGGAGGAGGGAGGAGGGAGGGAGGGAGGGGGGAGGGAGGAGGGGGGAGGGAGGGAGGAGGCGACGGTGCGCGGCGGCGGCGCCCCGAGCGCACCGCAGGCCACTTCCGCGGAGGCGAAGGGCTCGAAGCTGCTGGCCCAGGCCCTCGGGGGCGCGCCCGCGGCGGGCCCCTCGCGGAGGGCGGGCCCCGCCCGGCCTCGGGGCGACGCGGACGGGGCCGCGGTGGATTCTTTCGTCGGCGGCGAGGCTGAAGAGTCAAGAGAGGGAAAACCACCTCTGCAGGAAGAGGTGCCCATAGACCGCTGCCCTGGACTCGTGTTCGCCGTTTTGGGCCTGCCAGGAGGCCATCGTCGCCACGGCTGGATGCGCCGGATGCGCCTTGAGTCAAAGGAGGAAACACCACCTGGACCAAACAATTGGCGTTTACTGAACGGCCCTGGGCGTTTACTAAGCAGCCCTGCCCTGTTCGATTCCCTCTGTGGGTGCGTTTGCTAACCGGCTTCGCGTGTCGGGGTGATCATTCTGGGGGTGGATTTTCTGCCTTCTAAAGATCTGCGCCAGCGGAGAGCGATCGCGGCGACCGAAACGCGAACTGGCCGGCGTGCAGGAGGGGAGGGGGAAGGCAGACGGGGCGGCCGCGGAGGACGGGAGGAGGCGGAGGGCACTCAGGGTGGGGGCCTTCGGGGCCGTCTTGGGGCGATTCTGTGGGGCCCTTGAGCCGTTGTGAACGCTGGTAAGAGGGAAGGAAGGAGTTTGCTTAAGAAGTAGTATTTCCGAAGGGAATGGGATGATTCTATAGGCTTGCGCCACATCCGCCGACCCCTTGTTATGTTTTGTTCGCCGAGGTACCGCTTCCCAGGTCTTCTCTGGAAACCGCGGCCGTTGGGCCTTCTTGCATCCTTTTGGGGGCCTTTTGAGCTGTCTTTGACGCGATGGGTGCCATGGTACTGGCGGCCCGGGCCCCGGGTCGGCACACTCTCCGAGATCACCTTTCTTTGGCTCACGACTTCTTCCCGGGCCGTTCGGGCTCCTAGGCGGGTTCCCGAGGACTACGCCAGGGGAAACAGGAAGAGGAGGGAATGGTAGAAAGAAAGGGAGTTGGTCGTTGTTTCTGTTCGGGGGCCAGGGGAAGGAAATGATGATAGAGGCGGTGAATCGGACTGCCTGGGGTGGCATCGTCGTCATGGCTGGACTCCGTGAGAGTGTCTCGTGGCCTTCGGCCCAACCAGCTGCTGTGCCTGGCTTGTGGGTATGAAGCCTCGGGGCCATCCGTTGGGAGCTCGTGGGGAGGCTTCTCGTGAGCCTCTTGGAGGCAGTTTCGAAGGCTCTGGGGGGCCATTTTGGGGCCTCTTTTGAGCCTCTTGGGGGCCTCTGGGGGCTTTTGGGTGCCTTTTGGGGGCCTCTTGGGCCCTCTCGGAGGCCTCTTAGGGCTTCCTGGGAGTCTCTTCGGGCGGAAAATCTACATTTTCGGTTCGAGGTTCCCCTCTTGGGCCTTGTCTGGGGCATGCTGGGGCACTTTGGGCCGTCTTGGGCGCCTCTGGGGCCGGTTTAGAGCCTTCTGGGGCCGTCTTGGGGGATTCGTGGGAGGGCGTGGGAGGGTTTTGGGCCGTCTTGAGGCGGCTTTGGGTGCCTCTTGGATGTTCTTCAACGCTGCGCAGGCCGAAACATCGTATATGCTAGAAATGTATGTTCCCCAATGAAATTTGACGATTTTGACTTCTTTTGGGCTTCCTGGGAGGCCTCTTGGAGGCCTCTCGGGGTGTCTTCGCGGCTTCTTGGGCATCTTGGATCGATCATTCGGCGAGTCTGGGATCTCTTGGACCGTCTTGGGGGTGTCTTGGGAGGCTTGACGGGGTCTTGGAGCTCCAGACCGAGCCTGCGGAGCCCAGACCGCACCTGATGAGTTCGGGGGTGGGCCGTCCACGGCCCCGGGGGGGGTTCGAATTGCCGGTTTGGGGTCCCCAGGGGGGGGGTTATGGGGAGGGAGAATTTCACACGCTAGAGACCCACATGGGGTCGGCGGATTTTTGTCTTTCGGGGCCTTCCTGGCGGCAATCAGGGAACTCTGGAGCTGTTTTGATTGCCTCGGGAACAGTTTGGAAGCTTTATTGGACCGTCGAGGGGCTACCCTGGTCCGTCTCGACGCCGTCCTGGACGGCCTTGGAGCTCTTTTGGGCCCGTCCTGGGGCGTTCTGGCTCCGGAAGAAGCGCCGGGGAGCTCGTGGACCCACTTCCCCCTCCCCTCTCCCCCCCACCGTTACAAAAGGATTTTAGACCCAACGGGGGGGGGAAAGGGGGAGGAGAACAGCCAATTATCTCACACGTCTTCTCATCCCTGGCAAGCGGGCGTCGGCGAATTTGTCCCGCGACGTGGGGAGGGATTGCATAGATAGGGATTTGATCGATCTTCCCTGTGCGAGACACGTGGGAGGGCTCGAGTAACCAAGCTGTTGCCGCCCTTCGGTGTCGGGGCCTCCCTCCTCTCACCGAGCGCGTTCCACTGCCCGCAAAGTGCCTACTCGCAAACGTACGAACACACATGTCTGCATCGATGTAATGTATCGTAAAAGCTCCATGGCGGATCCAGGCCATTTACGAGTAGTCACTTGGCGATTAGTGGAACGCGCTTGTCTATCCTCATCCTTTGGCGTGGCTTGCTGTCACGCCTTTGCTCTCGTTTGTCCTAGTTTGCCTCTGCCACTGCGATTACTCTCTGGAGGAGCCTGACAACCAATGGCCTTTAATCGAAAACCGGATAATGATGCTGATGATGGTGGTTCTGGTGGTCATGATGATGATGTTGATGGTGATGATGCTGACGATGATGATCGTGGTGATGATGGTGATGCTGATTATGGTGATGGTGATGGTGATGATGGTCATGGTGATGATGATGAGGAGGAGGAGGACGATGATTCTGATGATGCTGATGATGATGATTCTGAGGATGATCATGCTGCTGCTGATTATGATGATGATGGGGATGAGGATGGTGATGCTGCTGCTGATGATGATGAGGACGATACTGAGGATAGTGATGATGCCGATGATTCTGATGATGAGAATGCTGCTGCTGATGATGACGATGATGATGAGGATGATGATCATGATGATGCTGATGGTGCTGATGCTGATGATGATGATGCTGATGCTGATGCTGATGCTTATGATTATGCTGCTGCTGATGAGGATGATGATGCTGATGATGATGATGACGATGCTGATGATAATGGTGATGGCGATGGTGATGATAATGAGGGTGATGATGATGTTCATAATGCTGATGCTGCTGCTGGTGATGATTATGAAGATACTGAGGATATTGATGATGCCGATGATGATGCTGATGTTGATAATGCTGCTGCTGATGATGATGACGATGAGGATGATGATCATGATGATGCTGTTGATGACGATGATGATGCTGCTGATGATGATGATGAGGATGAGGATGGTGATGCTGCTGCTGATGATGATGAAGATACTGAGGATAGTGATGATGCCGATGATGATGCTGATGATGATAATGCTGCTGCTGATGATGACGGTGATGATGAGGATGATGATCATGATGATGCTGATGATGCTGATGCTGATGATGATGATGCTGATGCTGATGCTGATGATTATGATTATGCTGCTGCTGATGAGGATGACGATGCTGATGCTGCTGATGATGATGGTGATGGCGAAGACGATGATGATGATGATGCTGATGATGATGCTGATGATGATGCTGATGATGATGACCATGCTGATGATAATGGTGATGGTGATGGTGACGATGATGGTCGTGGTGATGCTGATGCGGATGCTGATGACGAGCAGGATGATGGTGATGATGATGCTGCTGATGCTGACGATGATGATGATGCGGATGATGCTGATGATGATGACGATGCTTATGGTGGTGGTGGTGGTGGTGGTGGTGACGATGATGATGCTGCTGATGATGACGATGACGATGGCGAGGATGATGTTGATGCTGATGGCGATGATGCTGGTGATGCTGATGACGATACTGATGGTGATGATGATGACGATGCTGATGATGATGATGACGATGATGATAATAGTGATGGTGATGGTGATGATGATGAGGGTGGTGATGATGTTCATACTGCTGATGATGCTGCTGCTGGTGATGATGCTGCTGATGATGACGATGATGATGGTGATGATGGTGATGATGATGATAATGCTGCTGCTTCTGATCATGACGGTTATGCTGATGATAGTGATGATGATGACGATGATGCTGATGATGACGATGATGCTGATGATGATGACGATGGTGATGATGATAATGATGATGCTGATGCTGATGCTGATGCTGATGCTTATGATTGTGCTGCTGCTGATGAGGATGATGATGATGATGCTGCTGATGCTGCTGATGCTGATGCTGATGCTGATGCTGATGATGATGATGACGATGATGATGATGCTGATGATGATGATGATGATGATGATGATGATGAGGATGAGGATGATGATGATGATGATGATGATGATGATGATGATGATGATGATGATGATGATGATGATGATGATGATGATGATGATGATGATGATGATGATGATGATGATGATGATGATGATGATGATGATGATGATGATGATGATGATGATGATGATGATGATGATGATGATGATGATGATGATGATGATGATGATGATGATGATGATGATGATGATGATGATGATGATGATGATTAGTAGTGGTAGTAGTAGTAGTAGTAGTAGTAGTAGTAGTAGTAGTAGTAGTAGTAGTAGTAGTAGTAGTAGTAGTAGTAGTAGTAGTAGTAGTAGTAGTAGTAGTAGTAGTAGTAGTAGTAGTAGTAGTAGTAGTAGTAGTAGTAGTAGGAGGAGGAGGAGGAGGAGGAGGAGGAGGAGGAGGAGGAGGAAGAATAATCCCGCCCTCCCCTTCCCCCCTCATTAGGGCGCAGGGGGACGTTGTGACCCCCCGTCCCTGGGTGAGTCTGCCGATCGTCTTGCTTTTTTGACGGACATTTTAGTTCGATCCCTCCCTCAGGGGCGACCGTCCCTGGGGCGGGGGTGCGGATGGCAGCGTTTGTGCGACACTCTTGCCGTCAGTACCCAGTACCCAGGAGGACTAGGAGCAGAAGGATGGGTCCCGCTTCCTGGGCGCCAGGTCCGGGACCAGTGCAAGTCCATCGTCAAAACGCTGTTTGGGGAGTGCTCCACCAAGCTGCGGGCGTCCACGGACTCGGTCGAGAAGCTGTTTGAGGAGAGGCACGGCGGTTGCAGCGGCGACGACGACCACGGCGTGAGCCCCATCGCTGAAGCTCTTCCCTTCCTCATCTGGGGCAACGTCAGGGGGGGATGAGGCAGGGGGGGATGCATAGTAGTAGTAGGAGGAGGAGGAGGAGGAGGAGGAGGAGGAGGAGGGGGAGGAGGAGGAGGCGGAGGGGGAGGGGGAGGGGGAGGAGGAGGAGGAGGAGAGGAGGAGGAGGAGGAGGAGAGGAGGAGGAGGAGGAGGAGGAGGAGGCGGAGAAGGAGGAGGGAGAGGAGGCGGAGGAGGAGGAGGAGGAGGAGGAGGAGGAGGAGGAGGAGGAGGAGGAGGAGGAGGAGGAGGAGGAAGGGGGAGAAGGAGGAGGAGGAGGAGGAGGAGGAGGAGGAGGAGGAGAGGGGTAGGACGAGGAGGGAGGAGGAGGAGGAGGAGGAGGAGGAGGAGGAGGAGGAGGAGGAGGAGCAGGATTGAGGAGGAGGAGGAGGAGGAGGAGGAGGAGAGGAGGAGGAGGAGGAGGAGGAGGAGGAGGAGGAGGAGGAGGAGTTGGAGGGACCCCCAATCGCCCATCCGTCGCCGACGGGGGCCCGATGGCCCACTCCGGCCAGGACCGTGCGCTTTCGCTGTCGGGGGCCTGTCGCCGATCCATCGGCGAAGTATCGTCCATTCATGCTCGATGTTCCCCCGTGAGCTGGTCCCCCGTGAGCTGGTCCTCCGTGAGCTGCTAGGGGGCCCCATGCGAACCCTCCCCCTACCCCCACGATTTCTGAGGGGGAGGGTGGGGTTCACTGCGTTCGGGAGCTCCCGAGCGAAGCGAACCCCACCCCTTCCCCCTCTTGGTTTTCTGGTCAACTCGGGTCTCCGGCGGCCGTTCGGGACGATCTGGGCTCCCCCAGCAGGCCTTCGGCGAGGCGCAGTTGCTGGAAAGCACCCCGAAGGCGGAAAACCGCCAAGAACCGACGAAAGTGCCAGAGAACGTCGAATTTCCTTCCTCGGCGCGCCGCCGAACCTCTTCCTCGGGAGGAGGAGGAGGAGCAGGAGGAGGAGGGGGAGGAGGAGGAGAAGGAGGAGGAGGAGAAGGAGGAGGAGTAGTAGGAGGAGGTGGACGCGGACGCGGACGCGGCCGTGGACGTGGGCGTGGACGTGGACGTGGACGTCGACGTCGACGTGGATGATAATGAGCATGAGTAGGATGATAATGCTGATAACACTACTGATACTGATACTGATACTGATGATGATGATGATGATGATGATGATGATGATGATGATGATGATGATGATGATGATGATGACGATGATGATGATGATGATGATGATGATTTTTGATGGTGATGATGAATATGAAGATGATGCTGCTGATGCTGATAATGATGCTGATACTGATGATGATGCTGATGCTGATAGTGATGGTGAATATGAAACAGAAGAAGATGATGATGATGCTGATGCTGATGGTGATGGTGATGGTGATGGTGATGGTGATGATGATGATGATGACGGTGGTGGTGATGATGATGACGGTGGTGATGATGACGACGAGGAGGAGTCGGAGGAGGAGGATGATCAACAGGACGCATGACGCTGAGGATGAGGATTAGGACGATGGTGATTTTGATGGTTAGGCTGCTGCTGATGATGCTGATGCTAGTGATGATGATGCTGCTGACGATGCTGATGATGCTGATGATGCTGATGATGATGATGATGATTCCGATGCCGATGATGATGTTGATGATGATGAGGATGATGGTGATGGTGATGCTGATGATTATGATGAGGACCATCAGGCTGTCACAGCTTCTGATGACAAGCACTGCCGTGCTGATGGAGTTGGTGATGATGGTTATGATGTATGATCTTATGGTGAATATGATATGGGCTATATGATAATGGTTATGACCATGACTATGACCTATGACGATGACGACGAAGATGATGGTTGTGATGATGGTGGTGGTGAGGATGCGGACACGGACGAGGTGGAGGCGGGCAAGGATGCAACAAGAAGGAGCAGGAGGAAGAGGTGGATCAAGAAATTAATGATGGTGATGGTGATGGTGGCGGTGGTGATGGTGATGTTGATGGTGATGGTGATGTTGATGGTGTTGATGAGATGCTGATAATGACGCTGCTGCAGAGGACGATGCTGGTGATGATGGTTGTGTCGACGACGACGATGATGATGAGGAAGATGAGGTGGAGGATGCGTATGACGATGCTGCTGCTGATGATGATCATGTTGATGATGATGTTGATGGTGCTGGTGATGATGATGCTGCTGATGATGATGACGATGATGATGATGCTGATGATAATGCTGATGCTAATGGTTATGATGATGATGATCCTGATGGCGGCGGCGGTGGTGGTGGTGACAATGATGATGAGAAAGAGAATGCTGAGCTTGAGGAGGAAGTGGAATAGGATGATGATGCTGATGATGGTGATTATGATACTGTTGCTGATGATGATGATGCTGATGATAATGGTGATGCTAATGGTGATGATGATGATCTTGATGGCGGCGGCGGTGGTGGTGGTGACAATGATGATGATGACGATGATGATGAGGAAGAGGATGCTGATGAGGATGAGGAGTTGGAGGAGGCAGAGGACTATGCTGATGATGCTGATGACGATGATGATGATGACGATGATGATGATGATGCTGATGATGATGATGATAATGATACTGACGACGATACTGATGATGATGATGATGATGATGATGATGATGATGATGATGATGATTACGATGATGACGATGCTGATGATGAGGATGCTGATTGTCATGTCATGGTGATGCTGCTGCTGCCGCTGCTTTTGCTGCTACTGCTGATTATGATGATGATGCCGATGCTGATGATGATTCTGCTACTTATTATGATGATGCTGATACTGATGATGCCAATGATGTTCGTGCTACTGATGATGATGCTGCTGGTGGTGATGATGATGCTGACGATGATGCTTTATGGTTATGGTGATGATGACGATGCTGACGGTGCTGATAATTATGATCACGATGATGATGATGATTATGATGATGATAAAGGTGATGATGATTCTGATGACGATGATGCTGACGACGATTATGATGCCGCTGCTGCTGATGATGATGGTGGTGATGATGGTGAGGATGATGCTGATGATGATGATGCTGCTGATGATGATGATTCTGCTACTACTGCTGATGCTGATAATTCTGATGATGATGATGCGGATGATGATGCTGCGTCTGCTGCTGCAGATGATGATGATGATGCTGTTGATGATGATGCTGAGGATGATGCTGATGATGCTGATGATGATGAAGATGATGATGATGATGATGATGATGATGATGCTGATGATAATGATGATGACAAGGATGATGATGATGATGATGATGATGATGATGATGATGATGATGCTGACGATGATGATGATGATGATGATGATGATGATGATGATGCTGACGATGATGCTGCTGATGATGCTGATGATGATGCTGATGATGATGCTGTTCATGAAGATGATGATGATGATGATGATGATGATGATGATGCTGATGCTGATGCCGATGCTGATGCTGATGCTGATGGTGATGGTGATGACGATGAGGATGCTGATAGTGATTATGATGATGATGATGCTGCCAGTGATGATGCTGCTGCTGCTGATGATGATGATGATGATGATGAGGATGATGTTGATGATGATGATGATTTATGATGATGATGATGATGATGATGATGATGATGATGATGATGATGATGATGATGATGATGATGATGACGATGCGGATGATGGCGGTTATGATCACGATAACTGCAGACGATGACGAGACGGAGGAGGAGGAGGAGCAGGAGGAGGAGGAGGAGGGGGAGGAGGATGGAGGAAGAGGAGAAGAAAGTTAAAGGGATGACTAGGAGGGAGGAGAGGGAAGAGGATGAGGATGAGGAGCAGGAGGGGGAGGCGGTGGATGCTGATGATGATGATGCTGATGCTGATGCTGATGGTGATGGTGATGGTGATGATGATGATGATGATGATGATGATGATGACGATGATTATTTTTCTTCCGGTTATTATTGTGATGATGATGATTGGGGTGGTGGTGGTGGTGATGCTGATGAGAGGAATGCTGCTGCTGCCGATTATGATTGCGTTTATGCTGCTGATGCTGCTGATGATAACGAGGATGATGGTGATTCTGCTGCTGCTGCTAATGACGATGGTGTTGATGACTGTGCTTATGATGCTGGTGAGTGTGACGGTGGTGGTGATGATGATGGTGATCGGATCTTAAGAGACGGGGGTCAATACAAGCGGGGGTCAGCCAGGGCACCGGATCCTGCAGGATCTGCGAAGACCCCCTTTGGCTGACCTGGGTTAGCGAGCCGCTCGTGGCCGCGAGGCGGCCGCGCATATTGGCTGACCCGGTTTTGCGAAGCCCTGCGTTGCAGTTTTTTTTCTTGCATTGCAGTTTTTCGGTTTCCTGATGACCCGGGTCTGATTGACCCGGGTTTGCAGACCCCCGAGGGGTGATGATGATGATGATGATGATGATGATGATGATGATGATGATTATGATGATGATAAAGGTGATGATGATGATGATGATGATGATGTTGATGTTGATGCTCATGCTGATGCTGATGCTGATGCTGATGATGATGATGATAAAGCTGATGATGATGCTGATGATGATGATGATGATGATGATGATGATGATGATGATGATGATGATGATGACGCTGATCATCATGATAATGCTGCTGCTGCTGCTGCTGATGATGATGATGATGATGATGATGATTGATGATGATGATGATGATGATGATGAGGAGGAGGAGGAGGAGGAGGAGGAGGAGGAGGAGGAAAGAGGAGGAGGAGGGGAGGGGGAGGAAGAGGAGGATGAGGCTGCGGATGGAACAGGAGGATAAGGAGGAGGAGGTGAGGAGGAGGAGGAGAAGGAGGAGGAGGAGGATCAGGAGCAGGAGGAGGGAAGGGGGAGGGGGAGGAAGAGGAGGATGAGGCTGCGGATGGAGCAGGAGGATAAGGAGGAGGAGAGGAGGAGGAGGAGGAGGAAGGAGGAGGAGGAGGAGGAGGAGGAGGAGGAGGAGGAGGGGGAGGGCGGAGGGGGGACATGCTTCCCCCGCCTACCCCTACCCTCCCTGTCAGCCAGAGGAGCTGGCGGGCCCAGACGGGTGCATCCCGGAGGCGACCCTCTGCAAGAAGCTGGAGTCTCTGGAAGGTCCAACCGTCTCTCCGCCCTGCCTGCTCTGCTGCTCCTCCTCCTGCCTCCCTCCCTCCCTCCCTCCTCCTTCCTTCCTCCTCCCTCCTTTTCTTCCTCCTTCTCTCTTCCCTCTCTTCCCTCTCTTCCCTCTCTTCCTTCCTCCTCCTCCCACCTGCCTCCTCCTCTTCCTCCTTCCTCCTTATCCCTCCTTCTATTCCTCTTCCTTCTCCTCCTCCTTCCTGTGTCTATGCCTCGGTCTCTTCTTTTTTGTTTTCTCTCTCTCTCTCTCTTTCTTTTGCTCTCTCTCTCTCTCCCTCTCCCTCTCTGTTGGTCTGCCTTTTTTTTTTTTCTCTCTCTCTCTCTCTCTTCTCTCTCTGTCCCTGTCTCTCTCTCTCTCTCTCCCTCTCCCTCTTCCCCTCCTCCTCCTGCTCCTCCTCCTCCTCCTCCTCCTCGTACCCTCCTCCTGACCGAGGACGCGATCCGTGGATCTTCCCTTTCCTGTCCCCATCATCGCTCCCGTTTCCATGCCGCAGTATTTTCGGGCGGGTTCTTCCGCTTTTGGCACCGTGTCCCAGTGAGGACCTCTGCGTCGGCTGCGGCGCGCGTCGTTCTAAGTTCAATAGCTGCGCTCATTCCGCCGGCCCATACCATACGGTAGGGGGAAACAATCAGTGGACACTCCCCCGCTCCCCCAAACTCAAAGTTGGCACGCGCGAGAGAGAGTGCGGACGAAGTGCAACTCATCAGACCCACCGCCAACTTTGAACACTGGGGGGAGGAGGAGTCGTTGACCGATGAATGTGGCATGCGTCTTCGCTATTTTTCCGAGGCCTTTATCGTCGCTGGCATTTGTCTGCGTGGTGGGTAGCGGTCGTTTCTTTGAGCTGTCGCATGACCCTCGCTTTTGGCAGAAGCAGTGCCAGGCTAGAGGCACGGCAACGCTCGACGAAGCACGCCCCCACGAAAGTACCGTCAGTGCAACCTGCCACCATTTGTGCGTCGTGGGTCAGAGGCGTGTTGGATGCTTCGCGGGTTCTCTTGGGACGCCCCTTGGGGGCCGTCTGGGGGCTTCCTGGAGGCTTCCTGTGGCCTCTCTGGGGTCCTCTCTGGGGTCCTCCAGGGGTCTTCTTGGGTGTCTGTTGGGGCCTCTTGAGGGCCTCTTGAGGGCCTCTTGAGGGCCTCTTAGGGGCCTGCTGGCGATCTCGGAGCCCTCTTGGGCGGCCCTTGGGCCGTCTTGAGGCCCTCTTGCAGTGTCAATTGTACTGCTACCGTCGCCGTCGACACCATCGCCGCCACCTTGCATTACTTGTGCGTGTGTGCTTTTGGCTCAAGGCGCTTAGCATCGGGCTAGCGCGAGCATTGATTCGGAGATAGTGGAGTTTAAACGAACCTGTCGTTTCAGTTTCGTTTGGCTAGTGAGCATCGTGGTCAGTCACGTGTCACGTGAGGTCCATCACCATATTGTTAAGGCAGTCGACTTGAACAAGTGCCGACGTGAGGGGAACCCGAGCCTAGAACTCGCAGGAAGCGTCAATACAGTATTGGGCAGACTCAGCTGTGGGCTGTTCGGGGAAACTACTGCCATCACGAAATCACGTCTCTCTCTACTTACTAGGTGTGTGCCGCGATCACCAATCGTTCAGCTTGCTTGCCACCCGCCCCGCCCGGTCCTTCGTCCTTCGTGGCCGCAGCCCTTACAACCGTTACGACTTCTTACTCCCTTCACCGTGGCTCCGTCCTGTTTGCTTGGTGGTCATGCCGCGCTCCGAGCCGCCCGACTCCAACCTTCCCCCAAATGGTGTCACTGCCACATCAGTTCCTCCTCTGCAAGGCCCGTGCGCCCCTCCGCCTTGTCTCTCAGGAGGAGGGGGAGGAGGACGAGGAATCGGAAGAGGAGGAGCAGGAGGAGGAGGAGGAGGAGGAGGAGGAGGAGGAGGAGGAGGAGGAGGAGGAGGCACGCCCCGCGAGCCTAGAGGCCTCTCTGTCAAGCCCGAGCACGCCAAGCTCATCTGCCACCAGATGGGCGCGGGTGGCGTCGGCGCCGGGGCCTGGGTGCACGCGCGCCGGAGCGTCGCGCGCGAGACATCGTGCTGAGGAGACGTGGGCGGGAGGTGGCAGAGGAGGTGGAGGAGGTGGCAGAGGAGGATGAGGAGGAGGAGGAGGAGGAGCAGCAGGAGGAGGAGGAGCAGGAGCAGCAGCAGGAGTAAGGAGGAGAATGAGGGAACGTGTGACTTTTTCGGCGACGAGTGTCTCAACCCGAGTCATTTCTTAGCGACCCAGGTGCCCGGCGAGGTCCCCCTGAGGCCGAACACACCCCACACCGACACCTTTCGCCGCGTTTTTTCCGCGAAGCGAGGTGTATGTGTACCCCACCTCCCACAGGAGGAAGGGGCAGGGAGGGGGCTGCGATCAAGGGCAGCGTTAGGGGGGGATAGGCTCAGGGCGGGATGCATCGACCCCAATCGGCCATGTATCGCCGATAAGGGCCCGATAGCCCACCCCTCCCAGGAACGTGCGGCTCCGCTATCGAGAGCGTATCGCCGATCTATCGGCCATGTGCCGCTGATTCCCGGTCGATGGTTCCCTCCCTGAGCAGGTCCCCCCCTTGACGTTGCCCCTCATGCGAGCGAGGCAAGTACGCGTTCATGAGGTTCCTGCAGCGCTACTACTCCGCGGCGAGGCTACGCGGACCCCCCGAGACTTCGGAGAGGAGGATGAGGAGGAGGAGGATGACGAGGAATGCGATGCAGGAAGAGGAGGACTGGCATAGAATCGGTATGCGGTGTTGGCGAACTTACTGGCGCACTGCAAGCTTTATTCTTGCCTGTGGCACTAAGCTTGGAGCGGGAGCTTGTGACATATGAGTTTCTACGAGATAGGGCGGCAAGGCTGGTGTCACTACTCTCTAGCTTTTGTTGCGCGTGTGGCGCACCGTACCCATGCTGACATGGATGAGTATTATGAGAAGGAGGAGGAGGAAGAGGAGGAGGAGGAGGAGTGGAATGATGATATGATGGTGATGACGATGACGATGACGATGATGATTATGACAATGATGATGATGATGATGATGATGATGATGATGATGATGATGATGATGATGATGACGATGATGATGATGATGATGATGATGATGATGATTATGATGATGATGATGATGATGATGATGATGCTGGTGGTGGTGGTGGTGGTGGTGGTGGTTGTGGTGATGATGATGATGCTGCTGCTGCTGCTGGTGGTGGTGATGATGATGATGATGATGATGATGGTGGTGGTGGTGGTGATGATGATGATGGTGGTGATGATGATGATCGCAATGATGATGGCGAGGAGGAGCCGAATGCCATGGTCCGTTGGCCACCCTACTGCCATGGGAGGAGAACGAGGAGGAAGGATGACCAGATGATGGGCATGAGGGCGACTGTGAGGGTGATTATGTGGACCATGGTGATGAATGTGAGAAGGAGCATGAGGAGGAGACGCAGGAGGAGGTGGGCGAGGCGAACGAGGAGAAGGCAACGGATGATGGTGCTGATAGTGATGGTGTCGATTCTGATGATGACGATGATGATGATTCTGATGATGATTGTGATGCTGATGGTGATGATGATGACGATGATTATGTTGCTGCTGCTGATGATGATGATGATGATGATGATGATAACGACCATCATGATTATGACGACGATGCTGATGATGATGACGATAATTATGATGAAGAGCATGATGATGCTGATGTGCTGATGATGATGATGATGATGATGATGATGATGATGATGATGATGAGTGTGATGCTGATTGAGGTGATGATGATGACGATGATTCTGCGGCTGCTGATGATGCTGATCATGATGATGATGGTGTTTTTGGTGGTGGTGGTGGTTGTGGTGGCCATGGTGAGGATGATTGCAATGACTATGATGGCGACGATCCTGATGGTAATCAGGATGCTGCTGATGATAATGCGTCTTCTTCTGCTCCTGATGGCGATGATTACCATGATGACGACGATGATGATGATGATGATGACGACGACGATGCTGCTGATGATGATGCTGATTATGATGATGATGATGATGATGATGATGATGATGATGATGATGGTGATGATGATGATGATGATGACGCTGATGCTGATGATGATGATGATGATGATTAGCATGATGGTGATGGTGGTGGTGGTGCTGATGATGATGATCACGTTACCTCTGATGCTGGTGCTGATGCTGTTGATGATGCTGATTATGATGATGATGATGATGATGCTGATGATGATGATGCTGATGATGATGATGATGATGATGCCCATGATGATGCTGCTGATGATGATTATGATGATGATGGCGACGATGAGGATGAGGATTGGTGATCATGATGCTGCTGATGATGATGATGCTGCTCGTGATGACGATATTACTGATTACGATGGTTCTGATGGTGACGATGATGAACATGGTGATGATGACGATGACGATGATGATGACGATGGCGATGATGGTGATGAGGATGATGCTGATGACGATGATGATGTTGTAACTGATGTAACTGATGTTGACGGTGACGATGGCGACGATGATGCCGAGGAGGATAGTGAGTGGTGACGATGATGATGGTGATGATGATGATGCTGCTGCTTCCGACGATGATGATGCTGCTGAAGATGCGGATCCCGATGATAATGCTGCTGATGATGCTGTTGCCGAAGATGATGATGATGATGATGATGATGATGATGATGATGATGATGATGATGATGATGATGATGATGATGATGATGATGCTGATGATGAGGATGATGATGACGATGATGCTGTCGATGATGAGGGCGGCGAGGATGATGAGCATGATGTGATTGTGGTGATGGTGCTGCTGATGATGATGATGATCACGTTACCTCTAATGCTGGTGCTGATGCTGGTGATGATGCTGATGATGATGCTGCTTCTGACGATGATGATGATGATGATGACGATGATGATCATGATTATGATTATGATGATGATGATGATGATGATGATGATGATGATGATTGTGATGCTTGTGATGATGATTGAGGTGGTGATGCTGATGATGATGCTGATGGTGATGACGATGCTAGTGCTGTTGATGGTGGCGCTGGTTGTGGTGGTTGTGATGGTGATACGATGATGATAGCGATGATGATGCTGCTGCTGCTGCTGATGATGATTACGATGATGACGTTCATGATGATGATGACGATGACGACGATGGTGATGATGATGGCAGTAATGAGAGTGAGGATTGTAATGATGCTTACGATTATGATGGTTATGCTCTTGGTGATGCTGAGGATGATGATGATGATGATGATGATGATGATGATGCTGATGATGATGATGATGCGGATGTAGCTAATGATGACGAAGATGATGACGATGAGGATGATGATGCAGATCAAGGTGACGATGAGGATGATGCTGATGATGATGATGACGACGATTATCGTTACGATGAGGAAGATGCTGCCGATGCTGATTATGATTATGATGATGGTGGTGGTGGTGGTTGTGGTGATGACGATGGTGATGACGACGACGTCGATGGTGATGCTGCTACTGATGATGATGATGGTGGTGGCGGTGTTGATGACGGTGATCATGATCGTGATCCCGATGATGATGGATGATGACGGTGGTGATGACTATGCGTGTGATGATGACTATGATGATGCGGATGCTGATGCTGATGCTGATGCTGCTCATGATGATGCTAATGCTGCTGCTGATGATGATGCTTCTGATGATGCTGCTGCTGGTCATGCTGATGATGATGATGATGATGATGATGATGATGCTGATGATGATGATGATGATGATGATGATGATGATGATGATGATGATGATGATGATGACGATGCTGACGACGCTGATAACGATGACGACGAAGAGGATGAGGGACGTATGAGGGACACATGACCACAGATGGCCATCCGTGTCCGCGCGGTTTTTGGAGCCCCCTTCGGCCCCCCTTTCCTGGCCTCGGCCCCCCACCGCGAGGGCCACCGTGATCACGGACGAGTTCGACATCGACTCCTGCAAGATCGTGCGGAAGGTGGAGACAGGCGAGATCATCCGAGAGCGCTTTGCGCACTCCCGCGCCCGCGGGCCGGGAGACCCTATAGTCGGCGTCACCCCAGCATACTAATATTATGTGTGCGTCGCCCCCCCCCAGGGGCGAGGCGCGCACCGAGAAGTCTTACAGTATATGCGTCGTGGCGGGCGCTTTCTGGTGACACCGCTCGGGAAACGATACATACAACATGGGTATACTATACGTTCGGTTCGGACGCGCGCCTCCGAGGAGGGCATCAGTACTCGTATGGCCCTGTGCGTCCCATGATAGGCCCCGAGCTCGGAGGCCGCTGCGCGTGATCCTGGCGAACGGTGCTCCCAGCTTTTCGCGCCACCGTGGGGCCCCCCTGAGGCCCTCTGTTTCGGTGGCAAGTCATGCAGCCTTGTGTATGTCCTCTTAATTTTGTCTTTAGCGTCGGTTAGCGTCGATTAGCGTCTGGGAGTCGATGGGATAGCGCCGATTTAGCGTCGGCTCGCGTCGATTGGCGTCGATTTATCGTTGACTAGCGTCGATTCGCAAGAGCGGACAAGATGGTATGGGAGGCTCTCATGAGTTGCCACCGAACTTGGAGCCCCCCTGAGACCCTCTGTCGAGGATAGAAGCGCGACGGCCATGACCGAGATGTCTTGGAGTCTTCGCGACGCCTCCCTGGGTCATGGTCCATGCCAGCCGTTGCCATTTTCAATGGCAGCGATCGGGGGGGACAGGCATAGGGGGGGATGGATCGACCCCCAACCGCCCAGTGTGATCGGAGATGGGGGCCCGAAAGCCCCAACCCGCTCAGGAAGGTAAGGTGTTGCCATCGGGGGCCCATCGCCGATCCATCGGCGATTTATCGCCGATTCCAGGTCGATGTTTTTCCCCCTATGCCAGTCCCCCCCTGTCGTTGCCCCTCATTTTTCGCGAGGATGGTCCACGAACTGATGGTGGCCTGGGTGGACGCTTAGCACGGCAGGCACCGACGCTTCCGCGCTCAGTCCTGGTCCTGGTGTGGTCCCTTCACTTTTTGGGCCTCGTGAGGGGGGGGGGCTGCTGTCGAGGCCACTGGGGCCTCTCGGGAGAGGCGGGGGCCGCCCTGGGGCCAGCGCCGCCTCGGGCAGACCCCGGGCGAGTCAGGGCGGGGATCTGCAAGGTCACAGTTAGGCGGCGAGCGAGGGGGGAAGCGAGAAGGAGGAGGCCTTCTCAGAAGGCTGCGGGGCTTCTCAGAAGCCGTCGCGCCCTCGGGGAGGTCTTGAGTGTCTTCGGGCCGAAGGCTTAGAAGACTTCTCAGCAGGCCAGGGGGCTTCCGAGCCTTCTGAGAAGGCCCGCCCCTTCCCCCACCTCCCCCCGGAGATCGCCGCCGAGATGGGGGCCTGGGCGGACGGGGCTGCTTCACCCCCGCGGGGGGCGCGTGGCCGCTCCGGGGGCTGCTCGCCGCGGGGCTGCGCGGGGGTGGGGTCCTCCAAGGAGGGGGATCGCGGATCGAGCTCCTCGAGGGCCCCAAGGAGGACACGAAGGCGGGGCTGCTGAGACTGAAGGGGAGAGCGCTGAAGGACAACGCCGAAGGCCTGCTGGGGAGCAAAGGGGGGAGGCGAGGCGAGACGAGCGAGCCGGCCGAGGCCGGGTTCCCGCGGCCGTTGGGACCACGGAGCACCTCCGCGGAGGCCTCGGAGACAGCCGAGGCCGTAGGATCGTCGCCGTCCTCGGCTTCGCCTCAGGATTCGCAGGTGGAGTGTTCGGGCACGTGTGCTGACGACTAAGAGGATAAGCGAGGGAGCGGGATGAAGGGAGGCAGAGAGGCAGAGAGAGAGAGAGAGGAGAAGGATGCTCCTCTTCCCTCCTCCTGTTCCTCCTGCTCGTCCTCACCGCCCAAGGCTGGATCAGCGTCAAGGGGAACAAGGGCGGCGTCTTCCTGGAGGAGTCGTCCAAGCCGGCCCACGTTTGCATAGGAGCCGAATCCTTCTCTCGGATGGCCCCCCCCCCCCCGCCCTCCCTCTCCCCTCCCCTCTCCCCCCCACTCCTATCTCCCCGTCCTCGTCCCCACCCTCTCCCCCCTCTCCTCCCTGCCCCCGCTCTCTCCCCTCGCTCTCCTCCCTTCCCTCCCCCTCCCTCTCCTCCCTTCCCCTCCCCCTCCACCTTTCCACCCCCCTTCTCCCTGTCTTTCTCGCTCCCCTCTGCCTCTGCCCCCCCCCCTCTCTCGCCTCTCTCCTCTCCCTCTTCTTCCTTCGAGCCCTTTCCCCCCGTCCCCCCACCCCATCGCTCATCACCCCTCGGCGCCCGCAGCCGACATGCCGCTGGACAATGACATCAAGGGCAAGGACGGGGAGGCATGCACGCTCAAGGCCGGCGAGGTGATCGAGCTGGTCGAGGGCCCCCGCAAGGAGAGGGCGGAGCGGGAGAACCAACAATGATGATGGTGGCGGTGACGACGATGGCAACGGCGATGATGCTGCTGACATTGACGACGACGATGGTGGTAATGGTGATGGTGGTGATGTTGGTGATGGTGACTGTGGTGTTGATATGGTAAGACTGATGATGAGGATGAGGATGAAGATGAGGATGACGCTGGAGATGATGATGCTGACGATGCTGATGCGGATGATGATAGTGACGTCGAGGCGGATGATTATGTTGATGATGATGACGGTGATGGTGATGGTGATGGTGATGCTGATGATGATGATGCTGTTGATGATGACGATGCTGATACTGATGCTGGTGATGTTGATACTGATGATAATGATGATGATGATGATGATGATGATGATGATGATGATGATGAGGCTGCTGCTGATGATGACGATGATGATGACGATGCTGATGATTATGATGATGATGGTGATGATGATGCTGATGATGCTGCTGCTGATGATGATCTGGATGATAACGATGATGCTGCTGCTGATGGTGATGCTGATGATGATGATGATGATGATGATGCTGATGACGATGATGATGCTGATGATGATGCTGCTGATGATGATGATGATGATGCTGAAGATGATGATGATGATGACGGTACTGATGATGATGATGATGATGATGATGATGATGATGATGATGATGATGATGATGATGATGATGATGATGATGATGATGATGATGATGATGATGATGATGATAATGATGATGATGATGATGATGATGATGATGATGATGATGATGATGACGATGGTGATGATACTGGTGATGGTGATGGTGATCGGACTGTCGGGCTGGGGGGCGGGGCGCGCGATTTGCCGCGAGGAGAAGTGCGTGTGCGCGGTGCGGGCCCGAGGCAAGGCGCTGAAGGACAACGCCGTCGGCTGGGTGACCGTCACGAGCCGGCAGGGCAAGGCCATGCTGGAGGAGCTGGGGCTCAAGACACGGGGGTCCATGCAAACGGGGGTCAGTCAGAACCCCAGACCTTGCAGGATCCTGCAAAGCCAGGGGTGCACTGACCCGGGTCTGTGAGGATCTTGCAGGATCCAGCAGAATTTTTGTTGTTCGGGATCTTGCAAAGCACGACTGACCCGGGTTTGCAGTGATCCGGGTCAGTGGATCCCCGAAGGAGGGGAAGTACTACACCTGCACCTCCGCAACGGCCATGACGAACGAGCTGGACCTCGAAGAAGAAAACACGGCATGAGCATGCACTTAAGAGCTCCGCGCGGAGCTGCTCGGATAGGGGCTGAGGCCCCCCTGGCGGCGCCTCAGGCACCGCCCCTGGCACTCTCTGCGCGCCAGAAAGGGGGGTCCAGCGCAGATCCGAGAAAATGTGCGCGGATCTCCGAAAGTTTACGCTCATGCAGTTTTTTCTTCCTCCAGGACTTGAAGACGGGAGAGCTCGTGAAGAAGCTGTCCGTCGGTGAGGTCCGGGGGCAGCTTCCGCGACTATTTGCGAACCCTACCCCTGCGGGTCCTCTCGACGCTAGGGTATGGGACATCCTTGCTGGTGTCCACTTGGCTACAGACACGCTTCGGATTCTGAACCCCAGCCAGCAATTCAGAAAATCGGACCTGCAGGGTTAGGGCTCACACGTAGTTGCCTGTGGCTGATGCCCAGTTTCTGTTAAAACGGGGGGGGGGAGGGGGGGAGGGCACCATGTACGGTAGGCTCGTGTCGTGACGACGCGCCGGTGACACCGCCGCGTGCGTTCAAGGTTGAACGCCGCCAAAGGTCCAGAATCGGCCTACTATGGAACGATCTGGCGATCAAAACGCCGCCGATGGTTGAAAGTTGAACGAGCTACGTGGTGTCAGAGACCAACGCCGACGTCATCGCGACACGAACTTGCCGTAGGCTGACAAATGCCGAGGCCGCAGCGCAGGGAGCTCGCGGCCCCGGGGACTCCGCTCCTCGGACGCGTGCCCGCGGCCGCGGCGTGCTGCAGGTCTGCGTGCAGCCCGCTCCCTGCACGCGCCCTTCGGCCGCCCGAAGCCACGGCTCTTGCTGGCCCCGCTCCCGGTGGGCTCGGGCCAGTGGGCCTCCGCCCGGGGTCGCGGTCTTCAGGCGGAGGCTTGTCGCCGTTTCTGGCCTCTGGCGGCCCTCGCTGGGCCTCCGGGCCGTCAACAAGCGGCTCGGGTCGAAGAGCCGGCTCCCTGGCCCGTCGTGTGGAAGAGATCAGGACATCGGATCTTTGGGCCCTCGGAGGATTGTCCCGACCGCCAGTTTCCCCCCTCCTGTGACCCCTCTCGGAGATCCAGGCGTGGCATCTTTTTCCACGCTGGCCGTTTTCGTCGGGTTTCGGGCCCTGGGACCGTTACAGGTCTATCTGGTCCGAGGAATGACGCAGCAAGATGGGGTTGGGGTCCAGGGTTCCAGTCGTGATTCTTCGCGATGTTCCACTTTTTCGCAACGTCGGATCTCAGGGCTCATATCCGCTACAGTGCGGGAGCCGCGAATACATTATCCCTAGCATTATCCTCGCATTTTCCTAGCATTATCCTAGCATGATCCCCCCCCTCGCCCTTTCAAGGGATATGCTTGACGGGCGACCCCTCTGAGGGGGGCAGCCCGGGGGGCCCACCCCGAAGAGAGGCGGGAGTCGAGGAGGAGTCGAGGAGTCGATGACGAGGCGCATTTTGCAGCTTCGGGTTCCCTGTGGTGTAGTGAGTACATCGGACGATCCTCAGGTCGTGGTTGCCCTCGATGATGTTCAAGAGGATGCTGGCGTCAAACGCGTGAAGGCGAAGATCCTGAAGGAGGACAAGGACTGCTCGCGGGATCACACCTCGTCTGTGCCGCCTCGGTCGGTTGACCCCCCCCCTGAGGGCCAGCGGGGTCAGGACCAGTGCGCGAGCGCAGTTTGGAACAAGAGCCGTTTTGGTTTCGGAAGGTCCTTGCGTTGTTCGGTTCTTCTTTAGGCGCTTCTTCACGTTGTCCCTAAGGTTTTGCCCATGCTGTTCCTAAGTGTTCCCTGGTCGGGATTCATTCGGTGGTTGTCCCTCGGGCGCTCCCCAAAGGTGTGGGCGTAGCTTTGGGGCGACCATGCGCCTCGTTCCCCGTGCGAGGCTCCTTGTGACGAGACCTTTGCTGCCCGTCCCCGCAACGGGGGGAATCGACGGCTCAAAACGGCCAGGGTCCGGCCGATGTTTGGAACTACCTTGCCTCCCGAGGTGGTTGCTTCCAGGACGCCCACGTTCGAGGATCAGCCAAAGATACCCCGAAGGCTTGGCCTGGCGCAGCCATCCTCCTCGCGCCATGGCTTCGCTCAGGAGGGCTGGGTGACCCTTACGAGCGAGACCGGGACCTCGTTCTTCTCGTCCAGCGCGAAGCACTACACGGTGCTCGAGGACGTGGACCTTCAGAAGGCCGCCCGCCGATCGCTCCGCCTCCCCTCCCGCCCCGTCAAGAGACCGACCCCGGCAGAGGACGGCCAGGAGGAGGTCAAAGGTGGGAAAGGTGCCGGTGCCCTTACCTCCTCCGTCGTTTTCGCCATTTTGGGCCGCCTGGGAGGCCCTCATCGCCACGGCTGCATTCGCCTCGAAGCTCTGGTCAGAGCGCACCCCGGGAGAGATCCTTGGAGTAGCGGAATCGGTTCCTTTTTCAGTTCGCCCAGGGTGAATGAAGGAGGAAGGGGAGGAGGAGCAGGAGGAGGAGGAGGAGGAGGAGGAGGAGGAGGAGGAGGAGGAGGAGCAGGAGGTTGAGGAGGAGGAGGAGGAGGAGGAGGAGAGCGAAAGATGATGAGGATGAGGGCGATGAGGACGAGGAGGAGGATGATGATTGGGAGGAGGAGGAGGAGGAGGAGGAGGAGGATGAGGAAGGGGGCGAGGATGAGGAAGAGGGGGACCAGTCTAATCCCGAAGCTCATCAACGATTTTGCAATCAACCCTCCCTCCAAGTTCCCTCTTCGCAGGCCCCTACAAGGATTCATTTTCACTGCGGGGAGTGCCCCGTTGGAGGACAAGCGTATGAACATCCGGAGCTGTGCCAGAAAACCACTCCTGGGACGTCAACGCCGCGGATCGCCGTTCACCGCAGAATGTTTTTGATGCTGCACCCCCCCCTCTCCCAACGGTCTCGGCTGGCAGTACTCGCCCTCTCCTCCTCGTCCCTCTCCTCCTCGCCCTTCTCCTCGCTCTCCCTCGTCGCCTTCCTCCTCGTGCTCCCCTTCTCGCCCTCCCCCTCGCCCTCCCTCTCCTCGTCTTTCCCCTTCTCGCCCTCCCCTCCTCGCCCTCGTCGTCGTCATCGTCGCGATCGTCGTGATCGTTGTCGTCTTCGTCGTCGTCGGGATCGTCGTCGCCCTCATCTCCTCGCCCTTGTCGTCGTCGTCGTCGTTGTCGCGATGGTCGTCGTTGCCGTCTTCATATGGGGTGCCCGCAGGTGACTGGGCTCAGTAAGAGCTCGCCATAGCTGTGCTGATCTAGGTCGGTGTTAGCCGCGCGTGAATATATTTGCGCACTATTGTTCGCCGTGTTGGATATTGTTGTGTGGTTATTCTTCCATCGGGTAATTCTCCTGGGCGACCCTGCATGGCAGAGGAATAATGAGCTTGCATGTGCAAGGATTGCAAGATATTCGCCACATCTCCAATCGGGTCGGCGCGTCGTGTTTGTCGTCGTCGTCGTCGTCGTCGTCGTCGTCGTCGTCGTCCTCGTCGCATTCTGAAACGGAGCCGCCCTCCATCCGTGAAGCTCCTGTACATTCGTTTAAGAGTACGCGCGGCCTTAATGCGAAAGCCACATTTTGAAAAGGAACCGCCCTCCATACGTGACATCTCTTGTAAGTTCTTAGACGACTGTGCGCGGCGCTAAGACGAGAGCCACATTTTGAGAGTGGCCCGCCTTCCATTCTTGAAACTCATGCAAATTCTAGACGCTTCGCGTAATCCCACCAGCCTGGCTGGTATACGCCGTTGGCACGGTCTTGGCCCGTGGCGCCCCGCTGGCGACTCGACCATCGTTTACCTCGCCTTCGTGGCCACCAGGCGCGAGAGGTGTGTGGGCAGGAAGCTCACCTACGTTCTCGCCTCCACCGAGTGGTCCGACGCCGCACGGCGTACACCGAATTCCCTGGCATTTTGCTCTGGGCTGCACGATGCTCGAGCTTCCCTGGGTGCCCGTCAGCCAGTCAGCCCCACCTTGCTGCCCCAGCGGCCGCCTTGTGAGCTGGTCCGGCCGGCCTGTTCTGCGCCCTGCAGCTAATTAGCCTTGTTCGCAGCCCCGGACAACTGCTTTTGCCGCCTGCGCTCTTCGCTCGCGGCCGCGACCGAAAAAGTAATCCCACCAGTCCATCCAGAAACGATGCCCAGAGGAGTTGCCTCGATCAGGGAAGTGGGCAGCACACAGAAGAAGGGTCCCCCAGTGGAGGCCTTTTGGAGCGTCTTGGGGGCCTGTTGGCGGTCGCGGGGGCCTCTTGGAGCGTCTTGGGTGCCTCGGGGAGCCTCTTGGGGCCCTTTTGGGGGTCTCTTGGGAGCCTCTTGGAGGTTGGACGCTCCAGAGCCTCGCGACCCCCCCCTCCATGTCCAGGGGAGGGGTATGGGAAGGGGTCACGACACCCTCCAGATAGCAAGCCGTTTAGCTGACTCCCGCCCGCCCTCCCAACACAAAAGTAACACCCGAGCCTCAGCATGTTCAGCGGTCCTCTTTGGACGGACAGCTGCTGGGAAGCAAACCCGAGCCCATGTGCGCGACGCTGGGGCGAGGTGCGCCACGCGTGCCAGGCGCGCCACGCGCGCCAGGCACCCCTGGGGCCCGAACGTGCCAGGCACGCCTGGTGCGCCACGTGCGTCCGCGTGCGCCACGTGCGCCGCATACTCCAGCCGCGCCAGGTGCGCCACGTTCGGGGTATGCGTAGAGTGTGTCAGGTGCGCCTGCGCACGTGACAGCACACATCGGGAAACATGTCGGCCCCTGGCGAAAACTGGTGCCCATCATTGTGTCTGGTGCGCCTGTGCACACCAGGCCATACGCCACGGCCCCCACCGTCCCTGTCAAAAACCACTTGACAGTGATCGCGGGGTGGCCGCGCATGATCCAGATTTAGCCGCGAGGTTCATTTTGTTTTGTGTTTTGTAAAGGGATGGTAGCCCTGCGCGCAGCAGGCAACATGCTGACACCTCCGCCGTTCCTGTCAAAAAGGCAATACAACGTGCTCGCGGGCCTCACGAACATGACTCCCGACTTTGCCCCGAAGTGTATTTTTGTATTGTTTCGTTGACTGGCATGGTGGGGGGGCCCGCATCGGGTTGGTTGCGCATGTTCCGAATTTCGAGACAGAGTGCGGTTTGTATTGTTTTTTGACAGGGGTGGTGGGGTGGGGGGGGGGAGCATGGTTCCTGGTTGGCCGCCAGTCGCCTGGGGGAGGGGGTGTATATTAATAGGGAACAGTGATGAACCCCTCCCCGAAGGGGAAGAAAGGGGTTGGAAGAGAAAGCTCTCTAGACCACCTACGCCCAGAGGGCTGGTGGGATTTCAAGCTTAGAGCTTATAGCTAGCGAGGAAGTTTCAGGCGAAACGCCGGGCCCACCCAACCGACATTTCTCGGGGTGTGACAGGGAGGAGTTATACCTTGTGGCCTGAGGCCCATCCCGCCATCGTGCCTGGGTATTACGCGAGATGCCAGTGAGAGATTTCCTTGTGTGTTTGGGGCGTCAGACAGGCATCTTGCAGCAAACACCCGACCTGCGCTAGAACCTGAGCGCGCGCGATGAGGATATGATGGATGAGAAGATGGCTTCGACGACTTACAGCGGTTCCCGTCGTGATGATGCTGATGATGATGATGACTATGATGACTATGATGATGCTGATGATGCTGATGATGATGCTGATGATGACGATGATGATGATGATGATGATGATGATGATGATGATGATGAGTTGAAAGGAAGGACGGTGATTCGAATGAGGACGATGCTTCTTCTGATGCTGATGATGACTACCATGCGCGAGTGCGACGTGCAGCTTTACCAGCAACATCAGGCCAAGGATGATACCATTCAATATGATGATCGCCATTAGTATTGGCATGACGACGTTGCTCATGTTGAGAAATGATGGGGGTGAGGGAGATTCCCGGAATGATAACGATTACGAGGATCAATGCAGCTACGGCACTCGCTTGTGCATGATGGATTTGTCCAAGCCTTTCCTGTGCGCTCTCGGACTGCGCTACAACCTGAGAGCGCGCGTAGCATGCTCCTGAATCCGTCGAGCATGTGTGGGGGGGAGAGACAAGGCCAGACAGAAATAGGGGGAAGAAGGGCAGAGACTTGTCCAGGCTTCTGTCGTCGTCGTCGTCGTCGTCGTCGTCGATGTCGTCGTCGTGCACTGGGTCCCTTGGGGAAGTGTTCCGCGCCTTGCGCTGGGTCATTCTTGCGGCCGTTTCCGCTGATGAGAGGCATGGGATCCGTCCTCCAGGAATCGGCGAGCTGACCTCTCGCCCTCGCGGGAACGGTAGTGGCAAGAGGAACCCATACCAGTTTGGGGAGCCTCTTGGGGAGGCCTCAGAGAGCCAGTGTCACAGACAGTATGCCAAACGTGAGAAGCGATAACACCGGAAGCATGCAACACCAATCGAAGTCCATCGTGCCTGGCTTATGGTTCTGAGGGCTCATGGATGTTCGCTTGGACTTCGTGGGAGGCCTCTCGGGGGCTTCTGGGAGGCCGTTTGGGAGCCTCATGGGGGCCGTTTGGGGGCCTCTTGGGGCTTCTTGCGGGCCTCTAGGAAGCCTCTGGAGTGCTTCTTGGGGGCCTCGTGGAGCTTCCTGGGGGCTTCCTCGAGCGGAGGGCTCGAATTGTCGTTTCGTGTTCTCTCCCGCATGGGCCCCTCCTGAGCCGACGCACCCGACACACCCGGGGAATCCCCAGGAAATCCTGGGGAATTCCTGGACCCTCAGGGGAATTCCCAGAAATCCCGGGAAATTCCAGAAATCCCGGGTAGTTCCCGTCAATCCTCAGGAACTCCGAGGCATCTTTATGAAACCAGCGACCTAGGCTTTCAACACCTTACAATTCCGAATTTGTCAGGGCTGCATGAGCCTTGGGGCACGTGCTGAAGGCACGGTGGTGGGCTCTTACGTAAGAGGAATGGAGGCGGTGGAGGAGGCGGAGGAGAGGCAGGAGGGCGCGGTGGACGAGGAGGGCAACGTTCTTATCCCCTCCTCCCTCCCCTCCTCCCCTGTCCGCTGGCCTCCCCTGCTCCTTTTCCCTCCCCTCCCCCTTCACATCCGTATTCCTCCCACGCACTGCGGCATGTTGGTGAACATGCGGTGCCCTTCTTTTTCGAAGACGACAGCTCGCGTAAACCTGAACTTTTGGTTGATCGCGCGGATTTCTTGGATCGGCGCTTGAACACCCACCCCTGGCGCGCAGAACGCGCCAGGGGCGGCGCCCGAGGCGCAGCCACGCGAGTTCACTGCCGATCCGAGAATTCTGGGCGGAGCTCCGTTTTTTCGTGTGTATGTGTGTGTGTGTTGAAACTTATGTATAATATATGTATTGTTATTATTCGTCTTCTGATTGTTATGATTTTTCTTCTTCTCCTTCTTATTGTTATGATTAATATTATGATTGTTGTTTTATGTGTTAGTATCCTAATAATTTGTTAAGAAAGTGTTTTTATCGTCCCAGTCCTCCCCCTCTGGTCCTCCCCTTCCGGTCCTCCTCCCTGGCTGGACCTCCCAGTCTTCCTCTCTTCCTCCCCTTCTGGCTTCCTCCCCTCCGGTTTCCCCCCCTCCCCCTTCGGTCCCCTTGCCCTCCTCCCCTCTCTCTTCTTGTCACGTTGACCTGGTTTTGTTCGGATTTCTCGTCGCCGCCTGTCCTCGTGGCTCTCCTCCTCCCAGCCGCCGCGCGCAGGGCCCGATCGCGGCCACGGCGGAGACTGTCCGCGCCACAGCAGGGCGGAGGGCGCGCGTGCGCTCACACACTGACGACGACGACGACGATGGCGATGCCGACGATGATGACGACGACGACGATGGCGATGATGATGATGATGATGATGATGATGATGATGATGATGATGATGATGATGATGATGATGATGATGATGATGGTGATGGTGATGGTGATGGTGATGGTGATGGTGATGGTGATGGTGATGGTGATGGATGTGGTGATGGTGATGATTACTATGACGATGATGATGATGGTGATGGTGATGGTGATGGTGATGATGATGGCGATGGAGATGGTGATGGCGATGGTGATGGTGATGATTACTATGATGATGATGGTGATGGTGATGGTGATACTTCCTATAATGATGATGATGATGATGATGATGATGATGATGATGATGATGATGATGATGATGATGGTGGTGATGGTGATGGTGATGGTGATGGTGATGGTGGTGGTTGTGGTGATGATGATGATGGTGATGATGATGATGGTGATGGTGGTGGTGGTGGTGATTGTGATGGTGATGGTGATGGTGATGATGATGGACATCGCTTTTGTAGAGGGTAGTAAGGTGCCTTTGTCTTCTTCTCCTGGCCATCCTCTGCCCTCAGGTCAGAAAGCTGGAGGTGGGCGAGGCGTTTGTCGTCATGGAGGGGCCCAAGGAGGGCCCGCGGCGCTCGCGGGGAGGGGGGAGGGAAGGAGCTCATTTCTCGCTGGAGGAGGGCCTCCTCTCCCTTCCTCCGGTTCCTCCTCCTCCTCCTCCTCATCATCATCATCATCATCCCCTGCTTTGCCTCTCTCTGTCTCTCTCTCTCTCGCTCTTTTTTTTAGACGGCGGCGAGGATTTGCAGTCAGAGTTCGACGAGGAAGAGGAGGAAGAGCTGTGGGCTGAGTTGTGCAGCTGGTACGGCTGGGAGCCGTCTTTCTGGGTTGGGGGAAGCGAAACCTTTGCGGGGAGTGGGGGCACCACGGGGGAAGGGGTTCCTCCTAGTCGGAGAGGGGCCGAGTTTTCGCTCAAGCAGCTCTCTGAGGCAGAGAGACAGCTCTTTGTGTTTTCGGACGCGAAAGAGTGGCAAGCTATTGTAAATTCTGGAGCTGCGCGGGTCATGCCCGCTCCAGAGGCTGCGCTGGTGCGCAAGCGTTTTCCCGATCGCGTGCTCGGATCTCGCATGGTCCGGCGTTTTAGGCCGCAGGAGGGTCTGGGGTCAGAGGCGATTGCTAAATCCAGGTGGTGTGTCCAGGGGCATCATGATCCAGACAGCGATCAGCTTCGAGTTTACGCCCCCCCCCCCAGGGGGGAAGCATCATGTTGACCCTTCAAGCTGTGTATTCTCTTGGCTGGGAATTAGAAGTGGCGGACTGTAAAAATGCGTTTTGCCAGTCAAATCGCTTGTCTCGTCCGCGTGGACAGATTTTCTGCGAACCTTTTCAGGGTTTGAAGTTGGCTCCCGGAGAGCTATAGAGCTCGTTGCCCCAGTCTGCGGATGAAATGATGCGCCACTTCTTTGGCGCCGTACCTTGACACAGTGGCTCTCAGAAGACGGCTTCGAGAAATCACTTCTCGAGCCTTGCCTTTGGGTGAAACGGTCGAGTCTGGGGGGGGGGGCGTGCCATCGTGCTCATTGAGGTCGATGATCTTATCATGTCAGCCCATCCTGGGGAGCGTGCTGGGCTTTGCGAGCGAATTCAGAGCCGGTTTAAGTTCGGGAAGTGGAAGTCTGGGGAGTCGGGTTTCGCAGGAAGACATATCCGACAGGTTGGTTCCCGTATTTTCGCTGATCAAGAGAATTCCATAGTTGAACAGCTGACCCCCATGCGCCTTGCGAAGGGGCGTCGTGCTGTGCCTGGCGATCTTCTCACGGCCGAGGAGATTAGACAGTATCGCACCACGGTCGCGCAGATTCAGTGGCTGGGCAGAGAGACGAGGCCAGACGTGGCCGCGGGAGCGTCCCTCCAGAGTGCTCCGCTGCCGAGTCCGACTGTTGCCGACGCTCTGATGCGTTTAAGGACCGTCAAAAGCAGTTAAAGAGCCCAGCGTTCCAAGAGATAATCATTTGGCCCCTGGACGCTGCACCTTTACACTTTGTAAGGATCTTCGATGCTGGGGGCCCAGGGTCCGCGCGGGGAAGCGGGGCCCAGGGAGGTTGGCTCGTCTGTGCGGCCGAGTGCTCGCTTCGTCGGAACGCGAGGTCCCGGGTTTCCCTTTTGGCCTAGAGGTCCACCAGGATGAAACGTGTTTGGCTTGGAGGTCCACGAGGTCGACACGTGTGGCTGCGTCTACCGGGGCTGCTGAGACTTCGAGTTCAGGTGCTGCGCTGGCCGAGGGCCAGTGGCTCGCCTTCATGTGGCGCGATCTTCTGTTCAACGACGTTGCCAAGCCAGACTGGCTCCTCTCGCAGGCGCCCGTTTCTGTTGCGCTCAGTCGAGACTGTACGTTGTCGGATGAGGTGAGTTCGCTGTCGGTCGTCGATGCTAAATCGATTTTCGATACCCTTTCGAAGAACAGCGCAGGCTCTCGTCAAGATCGCAGGACGGCCATAGAACTGGCTGTTGTGAGGGGCAGTTCTTCAGCCATCAGATCACAGATCCGCTGGGCCCCCCGCGGCCGCATGGCCGCCGATTGTCTCACGAAGGCCGACCCGTCCAGAGGCAATGTGGCTCTCTCTGACCTGCTAGGAAGAGGCACGATCGTTCTTGTCGATGAAGAAGGGTATCTGAGCGAGAGGGCTTTTACTAATGGTCTGAAGTGTCGGTCCCGCGCGTCCTCCCGCCGGGCTCTCAAGCAGCCGGGGGGCGGCTAATGGGTCGGGGATCATGCCGGCGAACGCGGGAGGGGAACGGACGGAGGAGAGTGGTGGAGGCTATTGTCAGATCCACTGAAAGTAGTCCCGTTGTGGTCGTATTCCTAATCCCCCCCCTCGAGGTCTCTCGGATCTGACCGTGTGTAGGGGTCCCGTTTCTGTAGCCTTTGGCTTGGAGGCCCGCGGGTTGGTGGGACTTCGTGCACTTGTATCGTATGTTCCAGAGGTGTTCCTTGGAAACTCGATGCTCATCTGTTTGATAACTCGTTATCTTCGATGCCATCCGACGACGATTTCACTGGGGCGGCCCCCCGCATCGTCCCCCCCCCGTCGTCGTCGTCGTCGTCGTCGTCGTCGTCGTCGTCGTCGTCGTCGTCGTCGTCGTCGGCGTCGTCGTGGCCACTTTCCCCATCGAGCGATTCCAGCTCGATGTGCCCCCCCCCCAGGGACGGTCCCCCCCCCCCACGTTCCCCTTCCACGTGCGGGGCGCTCTCCAGCAGGGGGCCTTTCGCCCTCGATGGTCCCGAAAGGCGTGGGCGCCTCCCCTCCTCGGCGGGAGGCCGCGGGAGGTGGGCAGGGTTCGCGGCTGGAACGAAGCGGCAAAGCGTTGGGGGGTACCAGAAGTCCTCCTGGCCCAAGGTTTAAGCCGGGCACGTCCCTCTACAGGAGGAATTTTTAAACAATGGTAGAAAATAGTTTGGGGACTATTTTTGACCATTTTTGAATACCTATACGATCAACCTTCGGGTGATAAGGAGGTTGTGTTGGGGGGGAGATGGGGGGGAACCAACATTTGACTCAATCGATCTCACTATCGATTTCACTCAACGGGGCACCACGGGACACCACGGGACACCTGTCGATCTCATTATCGATCTCACTATCGATCTCACTCAACGGGTCACCACAGGCCACCACGGGCCACCGCGGGACACCACGGGACACCGCGGGACACCTCTCGATCTTACTATCGGTCTATTTATCGATCTCTGTATCGACCTCATTCAACGGGACACTAAAAGACACCACGGGACACCACGAGACACTTCGGGGCACCACATCGATTTCATTATCGATTTCACCATCGATCTCCCTATTGATTTCACTCAACGGGACACCACTGGACACCACGGGACACCTGCCGATCTCACAATCGATCTCAGTGTTTGGGACACCACGGGACACCACGGGACATTTCGGGGCACCACATCGATCTCAGTATCGATCTCACAATCGATCTCACCATCGATCTCACTCAACGGGACACCGCGGGACACCATAGGACACATGTCGATCTATTTAGGGATCTCACTCAACGGGACACCACGGGACCCCATAGGACACCACGGGACACCGCATTGATCTCAGTATCCGTATCAGTATGGATCTCAGTATCGATCTCACGATCGATTTTACAATCGAGCTCACTCGACGGGACACCACGGGACACCACAGGACACCACGGGACACCACGGGACACCACGGGACACCGCGGGACACCGCGGGACACCGTGAGCCACCGCGAGCCACCGCCAGACGGGCGTGCGGGGGAGAATCATTTGTCTTGACTTCGCCCTAGCAACGGCGGACACCACCGGACACCACGGGACACCACGGGTTACCCCGGGACACCGCGAGCCACCGCCGGACGGGCGGGCGGGGGAGAATCATTTGTCTTGACTTCGCCCTAGCAACGGCGGACACAACGGGACACCACGGGACACCACGGGACACCGCGGGACACCGCGGGCCGCCGCCAGACGGGCGGGAGGGGGATAATCATTTGTCTTGACTTCGCCCTAGCAACGGCGGGTTCGTTCTTCTCGCGCGCCCACGCAGCTTCGCCTCGCCCGCACGCACGACACGAACGAAACGAGACGATTTCCCGGTTGGGGGTCTCCGTTCCACTGCGATCTCACCCCCTAACCTCTGATTTTTTTGTCTATTTTTAATTTTTCGTCCAAAATCCTCCTGCAGGGAGACACGCCCGACCTGACCCAAGGTGCCCCTCGCTTTTCGCTCAGTCTTGGAGCCCCTGAGGCCCTCTGGGCCTCGTGATGGGGTGCTAGGGAGGCCGTGGGGGCCTGGGCCATGGGGTACTTCTGGCAACACTTGAAGGCGAGGGTGGAATGCCAGGGGAAGGTCTGCGGCAGGGGGTGGAAATGAAACAGGAGTCCCCAAGTGAGGGGTCGCCTCGCTGTTCCCGCTCGGTACCCCGCTCGGTGTCCTGGCCTACCCTGGATTCGGACAGGCAGAGGACGTACGGCTCCATCCTTCTGATCGGCATCACCCAAACATATTTGAACTATGTATGTATGCCTCGGACCCGCAAAGGCGACGCGCACGCACGTTCCTCTGTCACCGATGTCCTCCTTCTGGTCGTCGTCGTCGTCGTTGCCGCCGTCTCTCTCCTCCCTGCCCTGTGCCCCCTGCCCGCAGGACGAGGTGACAGACTCGCAGATGCGAGGCCGAGGCGTAGTGCTGGGCAGCGGAGCCGCTGGCTGGTTCTCCATCGGCGCGGCGACCAAGCCGTGGGCCCCCCGGGCCCCCTCCCCTCCCTCACCTGCTGCTGCTGCCGCTCCTCCTCCTCCTCCTCTTCCTCCTCCTCCTCCTCCTCCTCTCTCGCTCGTGGCTGATGTGGAGCTCCTCCTCCGCCTCCTCCTTCTCCTCCTCTTCCTCCTCCTCCTCCCCCTCCTCCTCCTCTTCCTTCTCCTCCTCCTCCTCTTCCTCCTCCTCATCCTCCTCCTCATCCTCCTCCCCTTCGGTTGGTAAGGGATGGTGCTGCAGGTGAGCCCTACGGTTGTCACCCTTTTCGTGGTCTCGCCGTCAGCCAGTGGTGTCCCCCAGCGGGGCTGCATGGTAGGCTCCCCCTGTAGAAGCATGGGCTTCACAGTTACATCACACATAGACTGTTGCACTGTAGATTTTTGCGTGCAGGAGCTAGTCATGTAATGCACGTGTCTTGTCTTGTCTTGTCTTGTCTTGTCTTGTCTTGTCTTGTCTTGTCTTGTCTTGTCCTGTCTTGTCTTGTCTTGTCTTGTCTTGTCTTGTCTTGTCTTGTCTTGTCTTGTCTTGTCTGGTCTGGTCTGGTCTGGTCTGGTCTGGTCTGGCCTGGTCTGGTCTTGTCTTGTCTTGCCTGGTCTGGTCTGGTCTGGTCTTGTCTTGTCTTGTCTTGTCTTGTCTTGTCTTGTCTTGTCTTGTCTTGTCTTGTCTTGTTTAGTCTTGTCTTGTCTTGTCTTGTCCTCCCCTTCCTCTAGGAGGAGGAAAAGCACCCACACCGCTACCCCTCCCTCGTTTCCGCCTTTTCGGGCCTGTGGGGGTAGGCCCTCATGACCACGGCTAGATTCGCTCCGAAATCGAAATCCTGGTCAGAGCGCACCCTGGAAGAGGTCCAGGAGCAGCGGCATCCGTGCCTTTTTTAGTTCGCCCAGGAGGAACGGAGGAGGAGGAATAAGGGGAGGAGCAGGAGCAGGAGCAGGAGGAGGAGAGCGAAAGATGAGGAGGAGGAGGAGGAGGAGGAGGGAGGAGGAGGAGGAGGAGGAGGAGGAGGAGGGGGAGATCTTCTGGCATACCCTCCCTCCTGCTCCCTCCTGGAGCCGCGTGGGCCACGAGGGCGCCCGCACGGCTCCCGGGCCGCACCTGGCCCGCGGCACGCCGTGCGTGGAGGGTGAGCCGTGCGCGGCGGCCCGCGGCTGGCAGGCTTCAATCTGTGCTCGTTCCCTCGTGCTTTCCTCCTCCTCCTCCTCCTCCCCTCCTCCTCCTCCTCCTCTCCTCCTCCTCCTCCTCTGCTCCTCCTCCTGCTGCTCCTCCTCCTCCTCCTCCTCCTCCCCCTCCTCCTTTTTCTCCGCGTCCTCCTCCTCCTCCTGTTCCTCCTCCTCCCTCTTTCTCCTCCTCCTCCTCCCTTCCTCCTCCTCCTCCTCCTCCTCCTCCTCCTCCTCCAGGGCGACCAGCTTGCTGGAGACACGAAGGGGCACGGCTGCAAGGGTACTTTTTGGAAGTTTGCCAACTTTCCTCATCGGTTTCGACTGCACAGTCGTGGCGCGCATCAAAGAACCATGGACTTTTCCGTCAGGGTGCCCTGGGTTTCTTCGCTCCGCGCGCTGCGCGGTGACTTCCCGCGGCCGTCAAAGCAGCCGCTGCGTTCGGGGTGCTCCGTGCTTTCCCCCAGGTGCACCTCGCGCGCGGGTTTTCAGGGTTGGGTTCCTTGCAACGGTTTCTTGCGACCGTGCCCGCACTGCATCGGCGTCACCCCGGGGCGACGCGCGCACCGAGAAATCTTGCAGCATGCGCGTCGTGGCCGGCGCTTTCTGGCCACACCGCTCGGAAAACGATTTACTACAATATTTGTACAATCTATGTTCGGATCGGACATGCGCCTCCAAGGAGGATACATAGTACTAGTATGTTTCTGTGCGTCCCACCTCATTTACATGCTGGTTGATAAGATGCCTGGCCTTCGCAGCGTGGTGGCCGCAGATCGGGACCCATGCATTTCAAGGTGGATCCCTGGATCCTTGCATGCCTCGTCGTTTTGTTCCTACATCGCGTGTGCAACGACGAACATGGCAGGGAGAGGACACGAGGTGGAGATGCAGAGAGGCAGAGAGGTAGAGAGAACAGTTCATCTACATACACTTACATTCACATACATGCATCCATACATCCATACATACATATACACATACACACGCATACATGCATACATGCACACATACCTACACACATACACACATGCGTATACACATGCAACCACACAAACGCACATGCACATACACACATACACATACATACATACATGCACACACATACACATATACATATGTACATATACATACATATGCATATACACATACACATACACATACACATACATACATTCATCCATCCATTCTGGTTACGAGCGACATCCATCCATCCATCCATCCATCCATCCATCCATACATGCTGACCTGCATGCATGCATGCACACATACATACAAACACGCATCATCATATACATCCACGCATACATGGATGTCTGCATGTCTGCATACGTACATACATACATACATACATACATACATACATACATACATACATAATTGCATACATGCATACATACATACATGCATACATACATACATACACACACACTGCATACATCCACCCATCCATCCATCCATGCATACATGTATGTACGCATACACACATAAGTACATATATATATATATATCTATATGTGTATGCATATTTGATATAAACGTACTTTCTGGCCGTCGCCGTACTAATTGGTTTGGACGGCTATGGCGCGCGGTCGTTTGTGAGTTTCGAGGTCAGAGCTACTGGGGCCTGTCACGAGGCTTCTTTGAGCTTTTCGGGTCCTTTTGGCATCTTTTTGGGGGCCTCTTGGGGGCCTTTTCGGGCCTCTTGGGGGCATGCTGGCGGTCTCGGGGGCCCGTTTGGGGCGGAGGGCTCGAAATTTCAATTGGAGTTCCCCGTCTTGGACCCCTCTGGCGGCCCTCTGATGGCCCTCTTACACCGCCTTGATCGCTTCATGCGCCGTCTTGGGGCTCTCTTGGGGCGTCTCGGGGCCCTCTCGGGGGCCTCTTGGGCCGTCTTGGGATGATCTGGGGGGCCTTTTGGACCACTTTGGACGCAGTGAAGGCCCAAAAGTAGCATATGCTGAACATGCATGAATGCGCCATCCCTTGTTGAGGCTCGTAATGCCAATGAAACAAGTGGTTATTCTCAACCAAATTTCGGGTGACCCGTCCGCCAGTGGGTCAGCTTTCCTTTGTTGTATATGCGCACTACAGCACCGGACATTTATTTTCTTTAACTGCTCCCAGTTTGTTGATACATAAACCAGTTCGGTACATCAGTCCATGTAATTGTACAGTTGCACATGCACACATTACATCTATATATAATTATATATAGTTTTATATACATATATATACATATAATTATATATTCATGTGTATATATGTATATATATACTTATGTCTATATATATTCAGAAAGAGAGCGAGAGAGCGATTGAGAGCGAGAGAGAGAGAGAGAGAGCGAGAGAGAGAGAGAGAGAAAAATAGAGACGGACAAAGAGAGAGAGCGAGAGAGAGAGAGAGAGAGAAAAATAGAGACGGACAAAGAGAGAGAGAGAGAGAGAGAAAGAAAGAAAGACAGAGAGAGAGAGAAAGATAGAGAGACAAGAGAGAGAGAGAGAGAGAGAGAGAAAGAAAGAAAGACAGAGAGAGCGAGAGAGAGAGAGAGAGATAGGGAGACAAGAGAGAGAGAGAGAGAGAGAGAGAGAAAAAGAGACGGAGAGATAATAGGGAGAGAGAAGAGGTATATGCAGCGTGTCGTGTGGATTCTCGTTCTTGGGGTCAGCATCGCCGTACTGGTAATGATGTGGATGAGCAGCAGGGCAGAGCCTTCCTGGTGCAAAAAAAAGGCCGAAGTGTGTAGCCGCGGCTGTGTGTGTGTGGGTGCAACGTTACGCGATGACCTAAGGTGGCAGCCGACGTACACCTGTCTCAAGGCCGTGGCCATCCGCGATTCCCTTAAGGCGGAGGAGGGCAAGGACCTCACCAGATCTTTCCAGTATCGGGCTGGGGGGCGCCCGCTATTCGCCTACAACGGTCCTTGCCAG